TCAAATATTTTTGCTGCCTTGTCTCTCTGTGCTTATGATATAACGTTCTTCAGTGTCGAACAACTCACGAGGAATTTACACATCGAGATGGTGTGTGGAATCTCCAGAATGAAGTGACAAAAGAGAGAACAGCGCAGTGTTTTTTGCGTGTTGATGAAGAGTCTCTGCAGCGTTTCCACAACAGAGTTCGTCAGATTCTCATGGCTAGTGGTTCAACAACATTCACAAAGGTTAGTAAATTTAATTTGAATTCTTCCGATATTGCTTGTATTACGAGTTCAGAAACCGTAAATCTCTGTTAACCGCTAGATCACGGTTATTTACGACGCCGTCATTTCTCTGTAAGTTGAGGGGAGGGCAGATAAGAAGCTGCAGTTCTTAAAATTTTATCACAGTGCACTCCTTCCTTCTCTTTAAGTTTTCAAAAACTTTCCAAAGTGTTGAGTACATGCTAGTGTGATGTGCTAAGCATGATAATTTAACTTTGGTAAATAAAATGCTTTATGTGTATGGCTGCAGTGATCCTATCCCATGGAGTGCTGTTGCATATTGTAAAGCAACAACAGAAATACAGTGAAACCTCAATGCATCGTTTTTGGCGGGGGGGGGAAATAAAAACGATGAATGCGGGAAAATTGTGGGCCAGGACTAAGATTTTTGAACGATCGATGCGATAAAACGATAGTTCGAGGAACGATAGAAGCGGGAAAATGTAACATTATTTTATATGGGATGTATCCGGGACCGAACAAAACGGAAAACGATAGTTCGGGTAACGATGGATAGAGGTTTCACTGTAGTAGGAGTTGAGGTTTTCATTGCAGTGATTCTGAAGGTGACTGTCTTCTGGGTTGTTGCGTCAGTCTGGCAGAAGTTGACCAACGTTTCAGAGGTCATTGCTGCCTCCATCATTAGGCGATGAATCACATAACATAACAGATGTCTTAGATACTGAAGATTCTTAGTTCCATTGTATGCTGTTCTAAGTGGCATGTAAGCATGGAAATATTAATATTAATGCAAAGTTAGAATGAATGATTTTAAAATGTATATGTAAGGGGCGTTAATGATGAATTGCAGACAGTGACTCTGATCTTAATGAACATGATTGTGATGATAGTAGCAGTAAATAGAAATAATAAGTATGTTTTGTGGGGAAAGAACATTAGTAAAAACTGATATACTGGACTTATGACAAAATATGTTTATGTGTCGAAGTAAATTTAAGTATCGCCGGTGTTTCTATACATTCCTCTACACTGCAGTGTTTCCAGTATTCAGGCATGTTGAATAGTTTAAGAATTATATTGATTTGGTAAAGTGTTGTCTTAAAAAGGTGGGAATGTCCAGTCCTCACTCCTTTGTGGTTTTAAGTTTATTTTTCAGATTAACACACAGTAGAGCTGCTGAGAAAGTGTCATTAAATAAACTGTAAATGAATAAATAATAAACAAACAAAAGGAAAGAAGTCTTAGTCATTGATATTTTTTACTTTGTAATGCTTCACCCAGATCGGTTATTTGTGTTTTATTTGGTCCAGGGCCGTTAAATATAGCATTAATATTACACCCATGAAAGATTATACATTTATTAAAATGCTAACATACGTATAATTTTTAACCCAATTTTATATTTTCAGATTGTTAACAAATGGAACACCGCATTAATAGGACTGATGACGTACTTCCGGGAAGCTGTTGTAAACACTCAGGAACTTCTGGATCTGCTAGTGAAATGTGAAAATAAAATTCAGACCAGAATAAAGATAGGTCTCAATTCCAAAATGCCTTCAAGGTTCCCACCTGTTGTGTTCTACACGCCCAAAGAACTCGGCGGACTTGGAATGCTTTCAATGGGGCATGTTTTAATTCCACAGGTAATATTAATAAAGTTACTTGTGTTATTTGATTTCATACAGATTCATAACATATTAAGAGTATTGACACACTGAGGATGATTTGCGTGGTGACAACACTACAGTCCGCAGACCAGGAGAAAATCCCTGCTAGGAATTTGTTTAACGCGCATGCGCAAGATTTCACGGTGAATGACGACCCATCCTAAAAGCATTCGTTCCACAACCACTGAACGAACAACAGACGACAGGCTTTCATGTGTTCTAATGGGTACAGCGTTAAGATTACCTCACAGCGGCACAGTGATTTAATCTAGAATATTATCGCAACACCCGCAGAACACATTAGAGGTGCACTCACTACACGCTACTCGTAACTGCTTGATGTTTTCAGTCTGTGTGTAGTAGCCTTAAACTCTGACGTATCACACTTCCCACCAATAGCAGCCTTCTAGTCCAGCTGATAAGTAACATTCCCCCCCGCACCGCACCAGAAACGACTTCCCCTTGCAGGGTTTTTCTCGTGATCTGTGGACAGTATCTTTATATATGAGTTTTTTATTTCTTCTATTTGAGAGAACATAGTTTTCATCATCTTCAAATATTCCAGTATTAACTATTTTTTGAGGAGGAGAAGAATTAACTGATAAATTTCACATGTTTTATTTTACACTTTTACCTCTGGGATATCACTGATTTGTTCAATAATAGTTCCAGTCACCATATTCTGCAGTTGCGACAGTTCATTTAACCACAGTTGCATGATGTGACCTCATCTGCAGAAGGAATGCTTTGTGGTGTAATTTTCATCTTCACTAATCGGCTCCAAGGCCCTTCCCACCCCAGAAATGCAGGCTATGTGTTTTATTTCATGTCTTTTAGTCTGATCTGCGGTGGTCTAAACAAACTGATGTTGGTATCACCCACTTCCGTTCGGGCATGAGTCATGATGAAGATCAGCTGATTCCTAACTTGTACCGATACATCCAGCCATGGGAGTCAGAGTTCATAGATTCACAGCGTGTGTGGGCTGAGTATGCTCTGAAACGACAGGAAGCCAATGCGCAAAACAGACGACTCACTTTGGAGGATTTGGAAGACAGTTGGGATAGAGGCATTCCACGTATCAACACTCTCTTCCAGAAGGATCGACATACTCTAGCCTATGATAAAGGATGGAGAATCAGAACAGAATTCAAGCAATATCAGGTATTTTAGTGTTCTGTATATTAAAATTGATAATGAGACAATTATTAAGAACTTTTATATAGGCTATTTTTTCCACGTGAAAAGTCTGATGTAACAAAATCCAAGCTGCTTTTACCATATTGAGGTTTTGTTGTATTTATTTTGTCTTTAGATGTATGGACTTTACTACAGTCGCCACATGTACGTACCTCCTTACTCTCCCGATCCAGCGCACGTCTGCTATTCTGACAAGTGGATGTCAGTTATCAAAATACAAATTTCCTCGTGTTAGTGTACTTGCACCTGCCTTTCCTCTTCAGCACTTTTCTGGAGCATTCCGACTTCATTTACCTAACCTCTGTATAATGAAAATTTACAAACCTAATTATACCTAGTTTTAAGGGTTGCATCCTGTTGTGTGTCGACTGTCGGATAGACAGCGCATCTGCGAAACAGGTCTTGATTATAATTAAGAATCTACTACATGTCTTGACCTTAATTGGTTATCTTTAAGTGTTTGAAACTAATAGATATTTAGCTACAGCTTTTCGCCGGTAGCTTCACCCACGTAGTCCATTGCGTGGTGAAGTCAGCAACAGAAAATATGTATACAGATTAGCAGTCGTGTCTATTAATTTTGAACACTTACAGAGAACCACCAGAGGATGAACATTGAAATTGTTGTTTACGTGGGCTGTCAACATAATCATACCTAGCTTAATCAGATGGTTAAGAAACTCATTTTTCTTGGTCTGTTGGAAATTCTGCAAACAAGTTTCAGTGCTGTCCTTGGATGAATTTTGCGTAGAGTAAATTTTTTTTCTAACGTTGCTGAATGACAAATTGGAAGGAAATGGTAGTAAATCTGTTCTTATCTGAGTAACTTAATATGAAGATGACTAATTGAGTAAAAAATTGAGAACTTATTTCAAAACGAAGGCAATGCTTGTTGAAACAGGAAGGAAAATATCTGATACATAAAGTTACTTGGTGTTTTTGTACGCAGGTGCCTCTGTTTTTTTTACATTTATTACAGGATTTTATAAAATTGTTTTTATAGGTTTTGAAGCAAAATCCTTTCTGGTGGACACACCAGCGCCATGATGGCAAGTTGTGGAACCTGAACAACTATCGCACAGATATGATTCAAGCTCTCGGAGGTGTGGAAGGCATTCTTGAGCATACTCTCTTCAAGGGTACATACTTTCCGACCTGGGAAGGTCTGTTTTGGTAAGCCGTTTCTTCGTTAACGTTTCATTGCATAGCAGTTAGATGTGTGTTATAGAAATAGACTGAGTAGGGAGGCTTAATACTTGTCTTAAGCTTTTAGGAATTACGTTGTAATTTTGATATCTCTTTCTTTTCTCCTCCCCAGGGAAAAGGCTTCAGGTTTTGAAGAATCTATGAAGTATAAGAAGTTGACAAATGCCCAAAGATCAGGTTTGAACCAGATCCCGAACCGTCGTTTCACACTGTGGTGGTCACCAACCATTAACCGAGCCAATGTGTATGTTGGTTTCCAGGTACTGGACGCATCAGAATTTTAAGAGTACATTGTTTACAGAATATTAAAACGAGAGCCCATAAAAATATTTATTTTTAGGAAATTGAAATATTTTTAATAGAATTGGTTTAAATGTGCAACATGCCTCACAAATTACACCTTCATAACATCTACGTGAAATTCTATTTTAACCGACGACGTCTCTCTGAAGATGGATTTAATTCATTGTCATTACATATGATTATGTTATCTTGTTTATTCATTGTTTCTATAATTGAACATATTTTGAGCAAGATTTTACCAGTTTTTTCATTAAATTTCAGGTCCAGTTAGATCTGACTGGCATATTTATGCATGGTAAGATTCCAACACTCAAGATCTCGCTGATCCAAATTTTTCGAGCTCACTTGTGGCAGAAGGTGCACGAGTCTATCGTTATGGATCTCTGCCAGGTAAGGAAGCGTCCATAAGTTCTGTCCCTACGCAATTATACAGTGGAAGTCCCATTTATTTTTCGTCTGAGAACAAGCATTTTGTATCTAAAATGGGGGGAAAATGTTAAATGGGAGTTACGTCAAACTGAAACAGAAAAGGCTTTTTTGGTTTTGAAGAAAACATTTTCGAAATGTAGGACATGCATCGTATGACTATATGTTAGAACAAATAAAGGATAAGTGTAACAAGAAAAAGAATACGTAAATTGCTTTCATTACTCTAAATTCTAAGTTCCAGTTCTGTCTTTTTGTCCATGGTAGTCCCTTTCATTTTAATTTACGAAAGAACGTGACACCTAGCATCGCATTTTCAATAATCCTGAAGTTGAATTTGATTTTTGTATGCACGTGCGTGTATGTGTTATCCGTGTTCCATTTCTTTCTGCTCTGTCCAGGTGTTCGATCAGGAGCTGGATGCTTTGGAGATCGAGACTGTGCAAAAGGAGACGATCCATCCACGTAAATCATATAAGATGAACTCTTCGTGTGCTGATATTCTGTTGTTCGCAGCTTACAAGTGGAATGTCTCGAGACCATCACTTCTTGCAGACTCGAAGTAAGAGATATTTTGAAATGTTACTTTGTCACAGAATGGAATATTATGCGTTCTTTGCGCAAGAGCAGAATTTGAGATGCGGGAGGTCTGTCACACCTACTTTTATTACCTTTTCCTTATTACTTCCTCTGATATCTTGTGTTATGTGTGCTCTCTCATGCGCTCCTTCTGCTGTTGCATTGTACACTTCTTAGTGGTAATGACTGAGAAGTTTTGTGCGTGCTGGATGAATAAAATGGCGTCTTCCTGTTAATATCAGGGACACGATGGACAATACGACAACACAGAAGTACTGGATTGATGTTCAGCTTAGATGGGGTGACTATGACTCTCATGATATCGAGAGATATGCTCGAGCAAAGTTCCTGGACTATACAACAGATAATATGTCCATCTACCCATCCCCTACGGGATTGCTCATCGCTATCGATCTAGCGTACAACTTGCACAGGTAAGAGCAGTAATCACAAAGATTTTATACTAATGGGAATGACATTTGTAGTTCAAGGCGAGAATTTGGAAAACGTTCAAGAATCAAGAAGTGAATAAGAATTTTCTGGGCTAGATTCTAGACGGTATTCAGATTATAAGATGTACCCTAGTTTTAGGAGATGTACCCCTTATATTTATGCAGATGTGATAATTATTTATTAGTTTGGTGAAATCTTACACTCTTTATCTGCTGCAGTCAGTTCTATTTCCTTGAACATGGTCCTGGCTAGTGAAGTTTTGGATTCCTTAGGTTGTGTATATTAAGTGCAATATATTTGATTAATTTATGCTGTGTATTAATTGTCAGCCTTTGAAATTTTGATTTGGAGTTGTAAAACTGAGGGTCTGTTGCTTGTGTAGTGCCTATGGAAACTGGTACCCAGGCTGCAAACCACTGATCCAACAGGCCATGGCAAAGATTATGAAGGCAAATCCTGCTTTGTATGTGTTGAGGGAACGCATTAGAAAGGCTCTACAGCTGTATTCTTCGGAACCTACTGAGCCCTACCTGTCGTCTCAGAACTATGGAGAGCTCTTCTCCAATCAAATTATCTGGTAAGTTAGAGGGAGAAATGGCTGAAGTAAGCGCATTATCTAACTGTAACCTGCTCTTATTCAGTAATTTTTTTAAACCATATTTTATCTGGTTGTTATTTTGTGTTGTTATTCCATTTGCATTGCTTTCGTTTGTTTGCTAGGGTTCTGAAACCTGGCAGTAGGACAGAGTTTTGACTCCATTTCCCGGCTAACCGATATGAGGTTCGTAGTATTGACGTTTACGGTATTGGCACAAAATTTTTTTACAGGTTTGTGGATGACACCAATGTGTATCGTGTGACTATCCACAAAACATTTGAAGGCAATTTGACAACAAAACCAATCAACGGCGCTATCTTCATCTTCAATCCTCGTACTGGCCAGTTGTTTCTTAAGATCATCCACACTTCGGTGTGGGCAGGACAGAAACGTTTAGGGCAGCTAGCAAAGTGGAAGACAGCCGAAGAAGTGGCCGCCCTGATTCGATCACTGCCCGTTGAAGAGCAGCCAAAACAGATCATTGTCACAAGAAAGGGAATGTTGGATCCACTTGAGGTACAGATTGGCACTATCGTCCGTTGTAATGTGAAGAGAATGTTACCAAGTTGTAATACGTAACACTAGAAATTATTAACCTTTATTACCCATTTGACGCAGCTAACTCTGTATTCAGACCCCCAGACCTGACTAGCAGCCCTGTGATGTGTATTTAAAACCCTATTCCCATAGCGTAATGTCAATTACATGGAAAGTAATAAATGGTGGATCTGTCACGTGTTCTTTTTTTGTGCGTAGGTACATTTGCTGGACTTTCCGAATATTGTGATCAAGGGTTCAGAGTTACAGCTGCCGTTCCAGGCATGTCTCAAAGTGGAGAAGTTTGGTGATTTGATTTTGAAAGCCACAGAACCACAAATGGTGCTTTTCAACCTGTACGACGACTGGTTAAAGACGATTTCTTCGTACACAGTAAGATCAAGCTATTATTCTTGTAGCATAAAGTTAATGTACAACAAAGGTAGTTCCTGAGCGTTATGTACATCCCGATGTAAAAAAATAAATTTTATAATTTATGTGTAGTACTTGGTAGGCTTATGTCAGTGAAGAATTTTCAAGGTTGAATTGAGACAAGAACAATATAGAAATGTTGGTAAACATCTGCTATACTACACGACATAACAACCCAAAAGACAGAGATCTTCATACTCGCCGCTTTGAGAACCTCAGATGTTACTTAATTCTTGTATATTTTAGGCTTTCTCACGTCTGATCTTGATTCTGCGAGCCCTGCATGTGAATACTGAGCGCACTAAAGTGATATTGAAGCCTGACAAGACGACCATCACGGAGCCTCATCACATCTGGCCGACGTTAACAGATGAAGAATGGATCAAGGTGGAAGTTCAGCTGAAGGATCTTATTCTTGCTGACTATGGCAAGAAAAATAAGTATGTGTGCTTCAGTAATGTTGTAACGATAGGAATAAAAAAGTAAACATTCAATGAAAATATTTTATACGTACTGTTCATAATTTTCTCTTCAATGTGCATTTGTTGATATGTACTGTCTGTACGTTTCTGTTTGGCGTGCATGGTCTCGAGCCATTTTTGTTGGTGCTGTTCTGCTCCTGTTAAGATATTTCATTTTTATTTTCAGATCCACGTTCCATATGCGGGTTAAGCGAAATTTTTATTGTATTTCTGTAGCAAAATTCTTCTACTTTCTTCCTGCAGTTTTGAATTAAAGTATGTTTGCATGAACGATGGAATGAATATAATTTAGTTTTCATGCAGTTTAACATGTTAGAAGGTTACCTACCTCAGCAATTTTAAGTGGCGGAGGAATCTTGCCGCAGTGCAGATTTTTTGTGTGCCCACTCTTGACTAGGTATAGTAATTTTACGTCTCGTTATTTTGTGCAGTTTTATCCAACCAATTCTTCTGTGAAACCATATTTTACTTTCTGTTTCTGAAATACTTTTATTTCTCGCTGTGTTGAAACAATAATTTTATATACAGATTGTTACCATTGAAATATATTTAGGTTATACACCACTCTTGTTCTCAGGGGTGTCAGTATACAGTATTTTGATGTTTGTATTGTAAAATTGTTTTAAAATGATATATTATTGTATAATTTGTTCTGATTGGTTTTGTTTTAATTTCCAGCGTGAATGTAGCTTCACTGACTCAGTCGGAAATTCGCGACATAATCTTGGGTATGGAGATCAGTGCTCCATCAGCTCAACGCCAACAGATAGCAGAAATTGAGAAACAAACAAAGGAGCAGTCTCAGCTCACTGCTACTACAACACGAACGGTCAACAAACATGGTGACGAGATCATCACATCGACCACATCCAATTATGAGACACAAACATTCAGGTACTTGACCGTTGTTTTATGTGGTTGTTTGGTGGTTAGGTTATATACCTAAGTAAAATGTTGATGTTGTTTTGTGAGTTACTGTCTTGTTAATCTCGTTTGTTTTATTTTCAGCTCTAAGACTGAGTGGCGGGTTCGTGCCATCTCGGCAACAAATCTGCATCTGCGTACTAATCACATCTACGTATCATCTGATGACATAAAAGAGACGGGCTACACGTACATTCTTCCAAAGAATGTCCTCAAAAAGTTTGTGACTATCTCTGATTTGAGAGCACAGGTTTGTTTGCTTTTTTATTTGTTTGTTTGTTTGTTCAACCATCCAGTCACCAATCTGCATGTATTTATAAGCACCTTGTCTGCATGTTTCTTGTTCTGAGTAGTAAGTACTGTTTACTGAAGTTTTTGAGAGTGCATTCAGGATTTGTTTAATTAAAAGTCCACATTTTTACCTTTGTGCTTGAAGATGTTAAAATTTGTGTTCTTTTATTCCACCATATTTCAGATTGCTGGATACTTGTATGGTATCAGTCCGCCCGATAACCCCCAGGTAAAGGAGATCCGATGCATCGTCATGGCTCCGCAGTGGGGCACCCATCAGACCGTGCACTTGCCGGGCCAGTTGCCACAGCACCAGTACCTCAAGGAGATGGAGCCGTTGGGCTGGATACACACTCAGCCAAATGAATTGCCGCAGCTCTCCCCACAGGACATAACTACGCACGCGAAGATAATGGCAGATAATTCTTCGTGGGATGGAGAGAAAACAATCATCATCACATGCAGTTTTACCCCCGGCTCTTGCTCTCTGACTGCGTATAAACTTACGCCAAGGTACGGTGGTTAGGTGGACTAATAATATATGACATACAGTTTTAATTTTGACTTTCATTTCTGTTTACATTTATAAAATGGCCTTGACGTTGTGTAATGATTAGTTTATTATGTAAAATGAGTTCATAAAAATAATCATTTTGTATGTGCGTGAAATGTGCTCTGTTGCTCTGATGAGCGAACGTACTTGGCGGCACAAAAGTTTTTTTTTAATCAGTAGTAAAAATGAAAAAATTTTCCTCATATTTTTTTCATTTTTATAAGTTTCTGTTCAGATGCTGTTCCTAGTGGTATCTCTTATTTTTCTAAATAATTGAAATGATTATAGCAAAAAAGTTTTTTATTTAATTTTCCATTTACAACACTATTCAAGTTTTTGTACTGGAATGTATGAAGTTCGTATATAAATTCAGACGTAATCTTACTTTTATCTTTGGCATGTAATTTTTTATTCCTAAAGCTCTTTTTTGTTATTTTCAAGCACATTAAAAATTCCAAGGGTTAAAGCGGCCCATCCGCGTGCGAGTCCGGCTCGGCTTGGGTTCCATTGAGCCAAACTCGTTTGTGGGTGGTTAGTAACGAGCCGAGTCTGCTATGCGTGTGGTGAAATATATCCGAGCCAGACTCTTACGTGGATGGGCCGCTTAGTACTTGAATATTAATCTGGAAAGCTGATATTCTTTTGGTGTTGGAATGTTGTGGAGACTGAAGTTTTTATTTATTTATTACTTTCTAGTATTATTATTTGAGTGGCATTTAATATTATACCTGGCGAATTACCAAACTTGTGTCTTTCATTCACACAATGAAATTTGGCTGAAAATTGAATTTTATAGATTTTAAGTATTCTTTTCTTGCATGAAGTTGGTCATGCTGCTGTTTGTGTAAGATATATAAGATCTGTCTTGTCATTTGCAGCGGATACGAGTGGGGTCGACAGAACACCGATAAGGGCAACAATCCAAAAGGTTACTTACCGAGCCATTATGAGAAGGTGCAGATGTTGCTTTCAGATAGGTTCCTCGGTTTCTTCATGGTTCCGACGCAGGGTTCGTGGAACTATAATTTCATGGGTATGTATTACTTATCAAGGCTAACTTCAAACAAGGGAAATAAGAGATGTATCCATAAATTTTTGTGAAGTCAGAGTAGCGATAAAATTCATTTCTACCGAATTGGCTGATGCTGACGTGCTGTTTATTAGCGTCTTGAATTAACTGCAATAATTGTACTCCATTCACATTCTGGCACCTATTAACGTAGCCCCACCCACCCAATTGGCTCATTCATCACCCTGATGACGGAGGCAGTATGACCTCTGAAACGTTCGTTGACATCCACCAGACTACACAGCGCAACAATCCAGAAGACGGAAATCTTCGTACTCACAGCTGTGAAAACCAAAAATCTTACAATAATTGTATTGCTAAACTCTGAAACTGTATAGTTGCACTTTTTACGGCTTTAAATGGATTTTTGTGCGTTCAGTTTACAATTTTAATGAATTGTCAGCGGTACGGAACTTCCATATATCGAACCGTGAATATGTAAATGTTGTGATGATCTAATGCATATTCTTTTTTAGAATTGTGACAGTATAAAAATATTTTTGGAACATGCTAATGTTATTTCCACCTTTACAAATTTTTTGTGGGCAATTGCCCCATGAAAATGCTTTTGTTTCAGGTGTCCGCCACGATCCTAACATGAAGTACGAGTTGCAACTTTGCAATCCGAAGGAATTTTACCACGAAGTTCACCGCCCAGCTCATTTCCTCAATTTCTCGTCTTTGGAGGACGGAGACGGAGTCGGGGCAGACAGGGAAGACATGTACGCGTGAGGAGCTTCATGTCTGCTGCAAAGTAAGCATGTGTGTCAGCGTTGTATATAAAGTACTGTCGTTTGACTGTAAGCTGAAGAATTAAAATACAATTCTAATGATCAAGAATTATGACTATGCAGAATGTTTTGTTGTTTTACAAAATGTTGACTACATAATCCATCGGAAATAAATGTTTTTATTTTCATAGATTAGTGCAATTCTGCTTAAAATACCCCAAATTTGATAACGCGTATATAACTTTTAAAATTTTGTCTTGCAGCATTACGTAAAGATAAATGTACTTCATGAATACCAATAAAAAACTGAGCTGTGTTTTCTCTTGTAGTTATTCTTCCTTTTTTTACTGGCAGTCCCTTTACGTGAACGTAGGAGCATTGCCTCGGAAAAAGCAAGACCGTACTCCCCGGTTCATTCCGTTTTGTTTTACGTCGTCATATGACATATAATTTTATAATGAATATCTCAATCCTCGCTTTCAGTTTTGTGTTTTACGTTCGTCACGCGCGATTTACTTAAGCCGAAACGCGCGCGACGAGAAATATTTTTACGAGACACGATACATTCTTTAAGGCAGGAGATCGAGAATCTGACACTTCTGTGACGTTAAATTGCGCAGAAACGGCAGCACGCTTTGTCTCGGTGTTTGCCCATTCACTGTGCAAGAAATTATTGGCTTAATAATGATTTCCTCGGAGAATTTTCCGCTCTGGCAAAACTGATTCCTGTAATTCCACTATCACATGCTCTTTCACACGTTTGTGTCTGCAAGTGTAGGAACATTAAAAAACTTAACAGATTTACATAAAATCAATTGAAGATAAAATAAATTTACAATAAAACGTCGCATATTTCGTGTCTGAAAATCAAGGCACTGTATTACAATAATTCATCTGAAGATTTTTTTCTAAAAAGATTATATTTTCTACTAACTACAAAACTTCTTCAATTTACATTATAAATGTTAAAATATTTTCTTTATTTTCATATCTAATAAAGAAATGCCCGGTAAGGAATTAAATATGCCGTGGATAGCCAAGAACGTATGAAGCACTGAACGGCGCAAATTTTCGTAGCTACGTTTAAAAAAAGGTTATAGCTTTACCATTCCTCAAGAATAACAATGTAATCTTATTTAGAGTTGTAATACTTGAACAATAACTTAATATGTTTCCTTAATGAGGCACAGAAAACAGTTTTTTGTCGTCGAGAATTATATAATTAATTACCTGATTATTTTATTATGTGTTCTAAATTAAATCGTATAATTTGGTATAATAAATACAAATATGATTCTGATCCAATCTACTACATTTATTGTACTAATAAATGTACAGCCTGAGAATCATGATATCCAGGCCACCGTTGACCTCTGACACTCACTTCCATTTACCCATCAGCCTGTGTTTCAGATGGCATGGTAGCTTTAAGAGGCGTGCTGTAGCACAATTGACCAATTAAGGCTCTTTGCTGTCACGAAACGCTAGAATTGGTTTCATGTGAAACGATTCATCAGTGGTTAATGAGGTCCTGTTTGTGTAGTTGAACGAGGATGTATATGACGGGGTTTGTTGAGAATTTGTGCTGCTCTCGAACCGAGTTCTTGGCGAGCTCGCCGACTTCGGACGCAGTTTTCTTGCCAAGAGGCGACGAACCTTCTGTGTCCATACAAATATGACGAAAATTAGTAGCCCTTGAAGAGTATTTCCAAGATCTGTGATATACCAGAGATATTTTGGGCCACCAACAGCCCACGAGATGACCTCCATTCCCCAGTTTACGCCCATCACAATGAACAGTTTAAGGTACAAGTTGAATCTGCAATTATGAAATACAAAAATGTAGTCTGACTGTCGAGGGTTGGTTAACATGCGCAGCGGTTATTAATCACATACAGTGTGTGTGGGATGTAAGTAGGCATTAAATAATCGCTATACATTGGAAATGTAGAGGTTATAACCATTTCTCAATGCGTATTTACTTCCCACCCACCCTGTAGTTATAGGTTTTCTGTATTTTACTTCACAAGACAAATATTATGCAAGATAATATGGAAATATAGAATTATATACGAACTTATTTTTGGCTATTATTTCGAAAATGAAACATTTCCTATCCCATGTTCATAGGGACATTTTCTTTATTATTTTTGATCCTGGAACAGGCACACGAAGTTTGTAAACATACTTTTGACTCATCCTGTATACAGTTAACTTGTAATTGCACACGAACATCTGCAAGAAATGTTTGTTCCTGAAAGAATTTAACTATTCATAATTTTTATTCTTTTATAATTCTTCCTTTTTTTGGGTAACTAAATCAGTGATTTTGACGTTCCTAGATCAGTGAGCAGCAGACAGAATGGCAAATCAGAACATATATTACATAATTTGACAAGAACTGAGTTTGGTTTGAAATGGTTCGGTGATAGGCTGCGTTGTTGGTGTGATGGTTCTTTACGTTCAATAATACGCAAAAATAACATCTGAATTTATTAAATAAATGCAGAACTCACCTCTGTCTATTTGCTTCATCAATGTGTCTCTTGCTGTCATGTCCTTTAAGCATTCTTGTCTCTCTTTTCAAACCGATAATCTTGAAAGAAGTTGTAATAAATAGGATGATATTTATTAAGACTAGAACTCCAATGGGCCCAAAAAAGTATGCCAAGACAGCAGTTTCAGCTGAAATGAACAAAGAAAATTATATATCTAGTCGACATCATATTGCTTTAATTTAAGTATTTGAGGTTATGTGTAATATCACTGGCATGAACCTTTTGTTATCAGAAGTGTCATTGACAATTCAATGTTTGAAGTGCAATGATCGTATAAATTCTGTATTGAAGGTGATTGTCTTCTGAGTTGTTGCACTGCATAATCTGGTAGAAGTTTGCTGTTGATTCTGATGTAGGCAGGAAACGTTGGTAAGCTACCGGACTACAGAGCACTACAACCCAGAAGACAACCATCTTACACACGAAATAGCTTTAACATTTTATTAAAGGATTTAATTCATGAGTTTATACAGTAATTATAGTTCGCTGAAGGTATATTTTTGAATACTCAAAATATGTTTTTAATCTGGCCACAGTAACAATCTTCAGCACAAATATACAAGATTGTTATAGAATGTTGCAATGGCTGCTTAAAGTTTCAGTACTATTTTGTATAAAATTGTGCGGTTATTATAACAGGAATGCGTGATTCCGCGATTCTCGGATTACAGCAGCATTCATCGCTTCCGTAACTGCCGTTAATTGAGTGTCTTGGAAATAATAATTTTTCTTAGACACAATTTCTCAGCCACTATTACCACTTCCTTTGAATGAAACATCATTTCCTGAGTGCGACTCATCGTATTCAACAGCCTTGGAACTACAAACGTAGAATGGTATACTCTTTGGATTACAATGTAATTCTAAATGTGTTTTTCGTGAAATCGGTGTGGAGGTTATGTCATTGGAAGCTAGCCCTGTTATCACCATAGCGATATTTAGGCTTGCCTGCACTGTTAAGTAATTGATAATGAACGAGCCAGATATAATTCTTAGAAATTAGAATTCGATTGTTGTGAGTCTTTAACATTTAGTTTTTTTGTTAAGAGGAATGGGGTGAACGTAATTCAAATGCGAAAACTACACAAAAGTCCCGATGGTTCACAGCTGTAATATGGGAACAGGTGAAAAGTGTGAAGTCACTACCAAGATTGGACTGACATATGCCGTTTTGTCATGCAGCTTATATTCCTTCCCGGCGTAAATTACATTACAAGGTTACGAAAGCTGCGCTGCAAAACGGCATATGTCCTTGAGATCTCTGTACAGGCGACGAGTTTACAAGCAACCATTCGCTGTTGATAAAACGTTCGCCTCGCTATGGGTTGAGAGTCACTGGCATAGAAGATTGCATGCAGGTGTCAAAGTTTCCTGTTACCTGTCTGCTTCCGAAGTGTATGATCCTTTGTAGTAGTAATCATTATTCCATTCGGTGGTTCCGAAAGTTTCAGTTCTTACGTGATACATGTGTCAGTAAAGAAATTTCGTCCCATGTTGACACGAAAACTTCGTTAAATTAGGTGAACCTATAAAGATTCTGCTTACTTCTGAACCAACATTTTTCGACGCCAAATTCGGGTTTGATGACCGAGCTGGGGACACCTGGCACCAAGTCCATGAGCACACACACAACCAGCATGACGAAAGGCGAACCCCAGGCGTAGAACGAGTACATGACGAATTTCTTGTATTCACGCTCCTTCACCGACCCACGCAAAGGTCGCAAACCACTGAAAACAAAATTTTCAATGATACGCAAACTTTTGTAAAACCTTTGAGCAGTGATCAGTCAAGAAATAAGTGTGGGCCATCTTAGATGGTCCTATGTTCTCAAAGATTGCTACAATTTCGAAATGTTTTGTGTGCGGCAGGAGACAAATGACAATAATGGGAATTACGTGTGGTTGGTTATCTGTCGAGCCTACGAACTTAAGCTAATAACCTAACAATGGGCGATAGATGGTCAAGAATGTGAAAAGTAAACATGTTCCAGCTTAGCTTTATCTACCACAAACACCAAAATGAAAGGAAGATCAAGTTCTTGAGAAGTTTTTTAAAAAAAATATTTGTTTCGACAGTCGTTCTGAAATCAATATTAGGCCTACAGGCCTGCCTTCTTTCAAAATAAGACCCAGGAAGCATTGGGAATAAACTGGTTTTCCTGAACGGAAACGCAGACTTTTAACACTGATATGGGATAGTAAACAGAGCGAATAAAGATAAAACAGTATTGGTCTCATTCCGGAGAAATTTTCCACCTCTTACTCCAAACAGAATGAATACAACTCAGAATTAGGTCACGTGGTCCAGAGGTTAACCCGTTACACGAATAAAATGGCGTTTAACTTGAACACTGTAATAACCCATTTGACAGAACAGAATTTTGTATAATTACGGCTTGTTTACATATATTTTTAAATCCAGGAGCCATGTTCAAGGCTTAATTTGAATAAAACGTGAACAGAAATGCAAAATCGACGACTGTTGAAAGGTGATCATAGTTTTCGGCTCCTTGCGCATGCTCTAATGCGAGTTCATGAATCTCGAGTAGCAGACAATTGACACACGCATAGATTAAGTTGCACTCGCAATTCTTGTCCATTGGTAAATATAACCTGCCTTAGTAACGATGTGTGAAGACATCCGCGTGGAATGATGAATAAGCAAAGTGAAATATAACATTCCCAGCCTTTCTGCTGACTGCCGCATATTAATCACGTGCGTGAGCACAGACATGACTAGAAGATTAACTGGAAATGGCTTGATAATCATGCAGAGTCAAGTTTATTTAGCGTTGATATCTCCAGTACAGATTATTACTCTCATACTAATGCCTCTTGAAATTATCGGACTACACGAGAACAATTTATGTTATAACACAGCTAATCTTTTCTGTATCAATAAATCTTTTTTTTTTTTTTACAATCTCAACAGGAACTTGGTACATAAATTTCTTTCGACGCAGGGCACTTCTGTAAGTTAAATTTTTGACGTGAAAACGTCTTTAAAATTGATGCCGGGTGTGGGGAGGCAATCGCGCCCAAATGAGCGACAGTTTCTGTCGAAATAATTTCAAACTTCAATAACACGACTAAAAATAGACATAGCGCCACCATCTTAGTCTCGTTTTAAAGAGGAAGGATGAAAGTTTGTGCTAGTACCGCTCCGATATTCGTGTCGGCCGGACATCGCGAACTGCGCACGCGCAAAGTGAACCCCCGATTCCGGATTCGACACGTGTCCATAAACGGGATCATATCTCAGAGACTAATTGTCCGATCCGATTGAACAAAGTGTTGTTTTGAAGAGGAGTGTATATGTTACAACTCATCCTGGCCTCCAAGTGTGTATCTCAAAAACTCAAAAAGATACGAGGCTGTGAATTTGAGAAAAGTATGAAAATTTACCGATTTTCTTAAAATGTCGCGATATATGAGGGCAAAGTACAACCAGAATTACAAGAATCGGGCACGAATGCGTAGAGAGGCTCAATGGCGGGCTTCTGTGGTCCTTCGGGTTCCATAAAAGACGCGGATGACCAGTGAGCAACCATCACTTCATCAATAATGACTTTGTTCCATGGAGTTTGTTTTGGTTAGATGGAAACCATCTGTGGCAGATGGTTTCTTTCGTTTGGTTACTTCTCATATAAATAAACAGACTTCATGCTCGGAATGTAAAACAGGTGAGAATTCTGTTTCTCGTCTGAAGTTCTGTAATTATATTTTACTCATGATCGAAAGAATAAAACTTAAAACACTGTAACTTGGGTAGGTCACGTAAGATGTTTTAATTCTGACGTAAATCTTCCTGTGAGCAGCGGACTTACCTGAACGTCCACCAGATATCGAAACACATCACGTTTAACCAGAAGAATGTGGCGTGGAATGCAAAGAAAATGGCGAACGCTGGAACAAAAGAAAATATTTCTGGTTTAAGTACTTATCGTATAATTTACTTAAATTAAACTAAGCTAAGTTTCACTGTAATCTCTCCTCTGCCAAGTCCTTCATACATTCTGTGCTTTTATCAAACTACTAACATAAATTGAGGTACGGTACGTATTAATTACTAAGCGACACCGGAATTGTGACATGGAAACAGCCCTAATCCCACACAGGGTAATTCAATATCGCCTTTAATAAATGTCTGCATATGTCGTTTGACTATAGAGTAGGTAAGAACGTAGATAGGCTTACACATTGGTCCCTAATATCTATACTTTGATTTATACCCTTCAAAATTAATATTTGTTGCAAATTTCGTGGATAGCACAGACCGCGAATATGTGTAAACATGTCGACCTTTGAAGTAGAGGATTCCGTGCACAGGAATTTAAAGGCACGTGTTTTTAAATGCGATTTATACGAGTTTACGCCAGTAGAATTGGATCCACCGATTATGGCCGCTGACCTTGTAGGGAGAGCCCAGTATGCGGACCACTCAATGAAGGAAGGAAGGAGTTTCCGTCGGTCAGTACAGTCTGTGTCAGTGCAGAAGTGTAGAAGCCTGATAATTGTTGTCTTGTGACTGTTCTGTGTTAACAACAAGCCACCTGTTCATTACAATCTCCTTTCTGGTCATTGATAACGTCTCGTATCACAACACTCAGACAGACAAACCATCGAAGTCTTACTCAAAGAAGGACGAAATGAAAGCTTGGCTATTGGAAATAAACATCCACGTTAAATATTACCTAACACTTTCTGCAGTGTTAATTTTCTAGTGATGTGTAGTGTAGTGAAACAGACTTTCCTGTTGTATATACCGTGGTGATATTTTATTTGGAGTTTACTGTACGCAAACTTATGGTAATTGACTCGCTCCGAGGTTCCAATGCACAAATTTCAGCGGCCAAAAAACGCGGAAGTGACTCTGACATAACCATCTTTGCTGTACATTAAAATGATTCTGAGAATGGAATTCATATTCAACACTGCAAGTAAATTACTCGTCTATACAAATAATCTAATTCGTAGATGATGTTCAAAATTCCGACTGGGAGTCAGGCCTTAACTTGATTACCGCGTACTTGTTCAAGAATAAGTTGGATGTCTGCGTAATTCTGCATTTTCATTCACTCTTATGTCCAAGCTGGGGCTTACATCGCTTCGAACCAGACCTAGTTTCACTCGTCGTTTTTGACTAAACTCCCAGCTTCCGATATCATAATAAACCCACAGCTCATTAGAACACCACCGACATAGACAAGTGCCATACTGACTAAGATATTTCCAGTCGGGATTTTCTCACCACGCGGTATATATAAGCTCGTTATCAAAATGTAAATGGCCGACTGTAATTCTCTGTACCAGTCACAGCCGGTGGGTCGTAACTACATTCAGGGACTGTCGTTTTAGCTTGATATATCGACTGTACATAAATCACGACGATGTTACTTACAACTTGAGGCGGTCAGACGCTGATGAAATTACTTATTGTAATCAATGTTTGTATTTCCTTCTGGAACTTGTAAAAACGTTAATTATTTCTGCCGTGATTACAAACTCTGGGATGTTAACTGGCATTTATTACCTGATCTAATCCCCCGAATTCATTTTTGACTTTATAGGTCATATCGCCGTTGTAAGACAGCGATAAAGAGCTGTTGGTTTTATGACGCCCCCTGGCGTGTGAGGGGAGGGGGTTACAGCAATATGCTGAAATAGGGTTTCTGTTGAATCAAGACTTTCCTAAGGGTAATGAAAGCTTCAGATTAGGCCTGGCTAGAAATGAAATTCTCAAGTTAAGCCTCAAACATGATTTTAGAGTGAAGGAATTTATGGAATGTAATAAATATATGTGTGTGTGAAACGTGGGATTTGATTGAGGAGGTGAAGAGGGCTTTAGATATATATGTCAAGGAGACTCGATGCAAAGGACGTGAATATGGACTATTGGATTATTTCGTTGCCTTAAAATATGCCACCAGGAAAGTCGACGAAAATCAGGGCTGTTTGGAATTGAATGGGACTTAACAACTGTTGGTCTATGCTGATGCTAATATTAATCTGCTGGGCGATAATAAAAATACCATAAAGGCGAACAGAGAAACACGCTTAAGGGCTAGTAGAGATGTTGGTCTACTGTTTGCGACTGTAATCTTGAGACATGCAAGGAATACAGGAAGTCCGAAGCGTTAAAGTCACCTACACCCCACCTTCTCACCAAGCAAGTCTCAAGATTACAGTCGCGAACTATAGAAATAAATGAATTTTCTCCACCACAGAGTGAGTTAGTGCAGCACGAAACACGAGTAATATATTTGCTGGCAAACAAACTTATCGATATCGATAACTGAGCGAAATTCTACAGGAGATATGGAAAACAAACAAACTTCTTTTTCTTATAGCGTTATAACCCTGTGTGGGTCTTAGCTTGTTCGATGATTTTTTTTCCATTCTGTCCTATCATTTACAATTCTTCTCCATCCTCTCACTCCCATCGTCCTCACATCCTCCTCCACGTCGTCTATCCATCGTTTCCGTGGTCTTCCTCTCATCCTTCTTCCTATCGGTCTCCATTCCATCACTCTTCCAGTTACTGGTCTTATCAGAACTTTATAGATTCTCAGTTTAAGTTGCCTCTCCAGTATTTTAGATTTCATCAAATTCTGATAGGCATAATAACATCTATTACCATTCACAATACGTGCTTTTATTTCATTACTTACTGAATTTTAGTATTAATCTGTGAACCCAGGTAATTAAAATTCTGCATTTGTTCAAAATTGTAATGTCCTATTCTCAATTTATTTGTGATATTTCTTGCTGTTCTTGTAACTTTCATACGTATTTTGTTTTCATTTCATTTATTTTTAGCCCCGTTAATTGTGTTTCTCCTATCAATTTTAATACTGTTTCTTCCAGTGCAGCTTTATTTCTGCTAATAATAGCTATATCATCTGCATACGCACTCACTTGTATTGATTTTATGCCTATATGTCATGAGATCTCAAGTTTCCGAATAGATGCTTCCAGCGTCAGGTTGAAAAGTATTGTTGAGAAACAAACAAGACTGTAAAATACAAATATATTTATTTATTTACTTATTGTTTATTTAAGGACGCTGTCAAAGCTCATATCAGAGTCGTGCTTAGGGAGGGGCGGTCTCCCGAGAATTAGCTGAGCACCGCGTGTCAGCTCGTGCACACCGAACGACATCTCACGCAACCCTAGAAATAAACTTGCAAATACAAAAAATTGAAGAAATACGAGTAAAAACAGAGACTGAGTTAGTGTTCAGCAAATCCTTGTTGTCGAAATGATAGAACAAAGACTTTAGATGGGTTGGGAATTTCTTGTATTCATTACGGATCTGGTACAAGAACAACACATTTTTGGGCTGATGCTTATGAGGGCTACGTTTGAATTTTCATTCACCTTTAATGTTGATACGAGGTGCGATCGGAAAGTTTCAAGACTGTGTCAATAGCGGGCGAACCGGATGTAGTACGAGCTTCTGACTCTAGGGGGTGCGGCCTACATTCATAGTGAATCAGTGTGCCAGCCGGCATCATCGAATTAGAATTTGTTTCTTAGTTACGGGCGTTTTGGTAGTGCATTACACCGACCCTCCTGCGATTTCGGAATGGCGTGTGCATCAAATTTTGCCAAAGACTCGCCAAAACGGCTACGGAAACCTGTGAAATGCTAAAGCAAGCATTTGGGGAGTCCGCAATGGGTCGTGCACAAACTTTTGTGTGGCATTCACGTTTTAAAAATGGCCGAACCTCTGTCGATGATGACGAGCGTTCTGGACGACCATCTTCGAGCACAACGCCCGAAAATGTTACGAAGATTCGGCAGGCCATTCACGAAGATCGATGTCGTACCATCAACGACTTGTGCGACATTTTTGGGATAGGCTATGGGACCTGTCAGCTGATTCTAAAGGAAGAACTCCACATGCGACGCATCCTGTCTGAGGCCCAGAAGCAGAATCGACTTCTCGTTTGTCAGGAGTTTAAAGATCTTGCAAGAACCGACCCCAGCTTCCTTTCTAAGCTCCGTGTGACTTCTTCCTCTTCCCACAGATGACAATTCAGCTAAAGGGAAGGAGATTTGAGACGATAGAAGAGATTCAGGCAGAATCGCAGATGGTGCTTGACAGGCTGACAAAGAAAGATTTCCAGGGATGCTTCCAGGCTTGGCAGCGGCGCTGGGATCGTTGTGTTCACTCCCAGGGGAACTACTTCGAGGGTGATGGATGAATTTAATACCTGAGATGAGTGTACGGGTTTTTATACCCGCAGTCTTGAAACTTTCCGATCGCACCTCGTACACGCACAGGAAGAAAACACCATACATTACCATTAGAAAGCTCAACTGTTCAACGTCGTTTAAGGAATTAATCTCTTTTTACTCTGGAAATCATACGAAAGCTTTAAATACTGTTTGTGTGCAAAACGCAGAATTGTTAAAACAGTCGCTACTTTCAAAGGTTAATTTTGAGTAATTGTTAAATTTCCCTGTGCCTGACCACGAGTGCCGAGTTCAGGGAATAAGCGAACTGATTCAATAATCACCTGACACGTGTTAAAATAAATCCAGCGTTTTACTGTTCAGACATCTTATTATGAGATTTCTGTCGCACTGAACAATCATATGAACATAATCCAGAACCAGTTACTAATTCAATTGTCACTGAAAAAACAATTCATCTGTGAAAGCTGGACTTTGCGTCGTCTTCTCACAGGCATTAACAACAAGATGGCGGCGCAGCGTATTAGCGCTGTGACGTCACAGTAAACAATGACCAAAACATTTAGGAAAGGGAAATGAAAATTGTATTCTGTTATATTTCTCTGCATGCTTAATGTCGAGAATGTAATGGCTGTATGATGCAAAGCTTTCACGGCAACTAAGTATAACAAATTCTTCTCTGGCCAATCCTATTTAGTTCGCCTTTCCGCCACATGACTCAGCTGGCAGCCCGAGAATAATTTGTTATACGTGTAATGGCTCTTGGCAGGGGCTGCTTCATTTTTTTTGGATACATTACGAATTCTAAGAAAAGACCTGATTCAACAGCAGGCAATGCAGGTTCTTGGTGGTGATCGTGACGTGATCTGATTTTCTGACAGTGGTTTGAACCCGAACATTTCAATATACGAAGCATAAGTACTAGCCACTCGAACATGACGTTCTAGTACGGTGATGATATTAGGACAATATTAAAAAAAAATGATTTTGCTGTGACCTTGAAACACGCAATTTGGTTATGAATACTGTAGTAACAATAAATCCATCCTCCTAAAATGGTGTCTGAGACTAGACAATTAAGAGAATGCCACTTTTGTTTCGATAATGTTTCTGAAAAATGTAAAACCACAAACATGGCGACCGTGCGGATATCTTCTCTGGCTTTCAGGCTGCAGAGTACAGTAAACCCTCGTCCATTGCGGGGACACGTCCCTCGAAAGCACGAAAGCAGCGCTGAATTGTAATTATATTTGTTTATAAACAAATTATATAATTTTTACAAAGCGTAATCTGAAACTTGAACATTAAAGCAACAAGATTGTAGCAACGAGGAGCTAGGATTTAAAATATTCGCGCAACTGATCTATAATCTTTATTTTCTCGCCTTACAGCTTCACGTTGCTTCGACTTCACTTTTACATTTACGTTTTGATTCGATAATGCTTTTCAAGGTCAATTTGACAAACAACAAAATCTACAAAGTCTGTAGGACACAAGTTAACAGGGTAACAGCTTAAGAGAGACTGGGGCAACGAGATATATCCATGTCATTTTGTTTGAATTTAGGTCTATTCTAGATAAGGCAGCGAGAGTCTGATGATGATGAGATCTTGCATGTCTTCTGGGTTGTTGCGCTCTGTAGCCTGGTAGATGTTTACCGACATTTCTATCACCACGTAGATTATAGACTGATTATAGAGGAAGCAGGCAACGTCGATAAACTTCTGTCAGACTACATGGTGTAACAACCCAGAAGACGGTCTGAACATTGTTTTAACGGATATTGCTTATGGTTTATACAAACATTGCAAATACCCCGTATAATCTGTAAGGTTTCAATACATTATACTTCTTTTAACCAATATTGTCTTCTCCCCTCAGGGACCCACATTAGTGGGTACGAGGACTGGCACCCCCGAGGTACGCGAGGTACCCAGTGCTTGGGAGTATAGCTGGGCCACCCTGCCTCATAGTGATCTGGGTATGCCAAAGAAGTGTGGACCTGGCTTTATACACTCTCCCAATGCAGTGTCTATCTGGTTAACGGGTCGAGTGTCCACTATTTCAGTGGTATTCAACCTTTTTTGTTCGCGTACCCCCAGATATAATTTCTCTTCAACTTTATACCCCCAAAAATTGTTGGTGTATAATTCAAGTTATACATAGTAAATATTAAAATAAATTAAATAAATTACATTACTGATTATTCGGTGTTTTCATTAAATAATATATATATATTTAAATTTCACGTACCCCCGGGGGTACGCATACCCCAGGTTGAATACCACTGCACTATTTGTACTCTAGTGTCACGCACTGAATCTGTGTCGTGGATTAAGTTAAAGCTGTACGCATTCTTTGTGATAAGCGGTTTTACGCTCCGGTCTCTCTAACCCTCCCGGAAAAATAGTATCCGGCACCCACTGGATAGGTGGTGGGGTGGTACTCGCAGGTGGTAAAGTCTGTCCGGAACCAAAACTGGTTGTGGTTTTAGAAACTTTCGTAAATAGCCTCGATAAAGTGTAACTATCAAAAGCAGGCTTGACACTTACCGCAGAAAATGCAGAATTCTGTGGAGAGATGGCTACTTCCGAGCTGAACGACGACAAGGAACGCGTAGGCGGTGAAGAGACTGCTCACGTGACACATAAGGCTTTTACCGTGTAGGTTCCTGAGTTCGGGTATCACGGCGTACACAAGGAACGTCGCGAACAGAAACGGTACGGAAATTATCAGCCCGATAGGATACATCATGTAGATGTCAGCATCACTATCTTCTTCCGGTGTATCTTCAGGAGGGAAACATATCAATGGTAAAATTTCATTCGGGCCTTCAAAAGCTTCAATGCAGTAGTCAGCTACGGTAAAGTTGCCGAGATCTGGAACGCTAAGCACACCGCTCCGAAAAAGGAAGAACTCATCGCCTCCATCTCTTACTGGGTCGAGACGAAAACTTCCATACTCACAAGGGTTCCCATACAACGTATATATGTCCAAATCTTTGACAGTGCTGTTAACATCTTCATCCACAAACTGTGGCGAAAACGGATAAAGCAGAGACGAGTTACTGTCAACACACATTCCATCTTCGGTCGTCGTCTGATTTTCCGGACAACACTTCCGAACGCAGCTTGTTAATAGACATAAGCAGCCTCTGACTTCAGTAATATTATTTTCGTTAAATTCTTTCCAAAAATATTCTGGTGGATATAAAGTACTGTCATCCAAAGATAGAAGACTTCCGTTATCAAACATGTGCCATTTTGTAATAATCACACTGAATGAAATATTGCATGCCATCGTCGAATTTATATTATCAGCGTATCCCTCAGCAGTAATATTATCGTCTACCGTTTCATTGGCTTCTGACGTCTTACTGTCAGTGTTTTGTTTATTACTGGTGTTGACAACCGATTCCGTAACATTACTGACATGGACTCCCGTCTCTGTATTCGGGTATAATAACTTCTCGTTCTTTGTCGTGTTACTCGTGGTTCTTCGTACTCTTAGATTTAAGTTTTTCAGACTACTTTCAGAAGTTGCTGACTTATTTTTACCATTAATTAAACTTTCTACAGCCAGATTCTTCTCATTTACACTGTTAATTCTTTTAGCAAATGGATCCAACTCTATCTCTGTTTGCCCCGTAGCACTGATGCTGGATTCCGATATAATGTGCCTTGTACGAGGGGCTTGGTCCCTCCTGATGTAGCCATCGCACGATCCCGCTACTACCAGGGCGCAGAACGCAAGAAGAACGCACAAATGCTGCTCCATCGACAGACCGTCGTACCACGACTGACGAACCAACATTTCCGATCCCAGCAAGGACTCTCTTATCGTTCTTTCCCACCAGCAAACAGGGTGCGCGTATATTTACTTATTAAAACTGCTGAACAGGAAGGAAATATTGGTTTTCAGTACATCCGCAGATAAGTTTTTTTTACAACACTAATCTGCGCAATTAAACAACCGACATACTAAAACGGAGCAGAGCCTTGTCGAAGGTTGCTTTCCGTCAAACCAGGTTCTATCTCAGTCCAAGTCAGTTCGATTTAAACTCGCTCGGATTATATTTGTTGTCAGTATTTATTGATTTTCATGCTGAACCTCACACAATCGATATTTATTTTCAATAGTTTCAATTAAGCTGTTGAACGGTGAATTAATTACTAGTGACATCTCACCTCTTTGGTCATTATTTTGGATTTCGCTGAGAAAAATCCTTTGAAAAACAAGTTATTAAAGGAGTTAGTGTTAATTTTCTATAACAGTCGTATAAAGCAACATTAATAGGAATTAGTTACATTTTTTAAAAAGATTTTTGTATTTCTTACACATTTTAAATTTGACTTTAAATTTAGTCGTGGAGTCGTGAGTTGTGCTTCGTTTGTGATACTGATGTGGTATTTTAATCAGCGCTGTACTGTTGCTTTGGAAACGGAGAATGCATGAAGTTTTTGAGTCATTTGCTTTCCTTATTTCCTTTTTTTTTGTAATTAGTTCATAGTGAAATGCTTTTCGTCTTCTCAAACTCCGCCCCTCTTGATTCCTTTCAAAACGGTAACCAGTTTGTCGCAGGCAAGGATTTTATTTTCGTTTTTAGAATGCTCTTTTAAGAGTACAAACCATACAACTTACAAATCTGTACGGAACAACGCGTACGTCTTCAGGGGAACCGGTTAAATCCTCCACGGGTCATTCAACACAGAGAGAATGTTGACAACAAATGTTAACTGTGTAGGGGCTCTTTAAAGCGATCAGGGTGACCTTGACTCTAGTGTCATTGTGAAAGTGAAAATTATTCTGCTGCAAAATGATATTTCTACGTACTAAACACAAGTTAGGGACTGTTCACTTTTTCCACGGTCGTGTTACGAGGGCCTTTTGTCACCATGTCACCTTGTTATCACATCCTCAAAACACGGATAACAGCCGATAATGTTATACATGGATGCTAGAGAGGTTACGTTTTCTATTTATAGCTCCTCAAGGAGAAGTGTGTTCCATTTCAAAACTTCTTCTCCTGATACTTACAAATTTTCTCCTCAGCATTACGTTTTAAAAATAATTTATGTCATATTCATCTAAAACAACAACTTTCGTTTTATTAAAGAAGGCAAGTCGTTATAACTTCACATCGAGGTATCATGTCTGATATCAAGTTCCATACATGATTAAATATTCTCACGGTATGTAATTAAGGTTATGTTTTACAACAATACGTAAGGATCAATTTTAAAACACACGTTCCAAACAAGAATGTGAGGTAGTGATTAAATATGTACTTTCCGAAAGTATTCTTGGAAACTTTTAGTCGGGGTTGTAACTAAGTTGCGAAAACTTTGCTATTTCCTTCGACATTTATGTCCGCCTCTCTGGCTGTCTACGCCTGTAATAGCACGAGAACATTGAATGGATTTGCAACGGAACACGTTCGGGAATACCCGTAATAACATCATTGCTCAGACAGCGGTAAAATTCTAGCAAATGTTCAGAAACTGCTAATCTTTGCGTACGACAATTCGGCTTTATGGAGTTTGTACCAAAATTAAATTTCTCGGAAAACTTTCAAAGTTTTGTTGACAACTTTTTAATATTTTTGCAGGTGGAACATGCCGACAAAAGTTTCTAATATTCTAATGTATTCATGAGAGAAAAGCTTAAATTCTGGTAGCAACTTTACTCGGTGATAGAAGAAGGTAAATTTCATTAGAGAAGAGACATTTTTGTTGACAAACTCAATACAATCGGATATCACTGACATATTTCGGTTGCTCACTTGTTTCCAATGCTATTTTCTGTGGCTTGTGTTATCTGTGATCTTGTCATTCATTCCCATTATACTTCATTCTGTGACGAATATGAATAGTGGCGCTAAATTAAACTGTTACATCATTAGTTAACGAGCAGGTGGCTACATAAAATCAGTTTACCAAGTAATAAATAACACTTGTGTTTTGGACAGAATGAACGTTGTGAAAAGAGATACACTGAAGAACAGAAGCAGGTCTTCTGCTCTTGGTAAAGGGAAAAGGATTGGAGGCCGAGGTATAACTTTATACTTTTGAGGTTACTTTCAGTATGCTGCAAGTGTTTATTTAATTGGTAATTTTTCAGCAATCTGGCTTAAGATATCCAATGGCAGACTCTTACATTGAATCTTTGGTTTTAATAAGTGACTGGGAATTTCATGACTAGTTGAGAGACGTAATGTCGTAAGAAGACCTCTGCTGTATGGTGTTGTATTGCTATTGTGACTTTGTTTTTTAAACACAGCTGTGTATATAAAATGTCTTTTAGTAAAGTTCTAAAAAAATTGATTTTTTATAGTAAATGCCCTTTGTCATCTTGTCTGAATTTGCAAGCCTGTTGATAAATCAGAAAGTAATGCACAAATTAACAATTAGTTTTGACTTTGTTATCAAGGACTGCCATGGTCTTCACATATGGTCAGTGGGAGAGATCAAAATCAAATTTTAGGAAGAGTTCCAATGGTAACACCAAAGTATTTTGTGCCATCCTCTAGTATGCAGGCTGGATTTTCTGGATGTAATATTGGTATGTCTGCCTCTTCAGGAACTGGTAGAAGACAGTTTTCAATGTAAGTTTTTACCAAAATCATGTTAATTATTTGAAAATATTGTGTAATTTGACCACTGACATCTAAATCTGATAACATTATGTTCTGTCAGGCTTGCCACAGAATTTGTTTTACTTGTTCATACTAGATGCAGATTAAATAAAATTAAACCAAACTAAACCCATAAAACACATAAGAAAAACTACTGGAAAAGAAATCCTTCTCTTTTAATGGAATGCAATAACAGTTTATCTGATTTCAAACACTGATGCATATTGAACTTTATTTGATTGCATGTGTATGAAGATTATTCTACAGTGCTTCTTTGTTATATGTGCTGGAGGTTTCCGTCATCCAGTGGCAGCGGATCGCATCCACGCACATCTTCAGAAATTAGAACACCAAGATCTGTTACAACTAGCACCAGTGATGGAATTTCTACGTGTGTCGTAGGTGCGTATTTGTTTCTGATGTGGCGTAAAAGTTTTTATTAGGTGTTTGATGATTATATAGTATAGTACTTGAAGTGATAGAGAAAAACTATAGAATTATTTCTTATTGTGTTTAAATCTATCATCTTGATCCAGTATTTCAGACTCGGAAGAAGTTTTCAAAACTACTGATAAAGATAAAGCACTTCATGCACTTATATGATGAGGTTAGGTTTAAAGAAAGAGGTTACTGCATCATGCCTCACTGCCAGCCTACAGAAATTAAATTCTGAATTAATTTATAAATGGACTTTGTTTGTGGGTAACATCTTTCCCAATTTTAAAATCCTAACCTAAAATCTTAATAAACTTCTATAGTTACTGTTTTCGTGATAAGCAGAGGGCCAACTATGTGATATTGGAAAATTACACATTACATCACAATTTTTACAGGATGTGAATCTTAAAAAAATCACAATTAACATACCAGTCCCTCTGTTTGCTACATTCAGCACCACCATATGTTCTGTTTCCTTTCTTCTCCTTCATTACTTCTTTCCAAGCTACAGTAGATGTGACTGGTACATTTTTCAGCCATAAGTTGTACTAAAAAACACTATATGAATTTTTTGTATTAGGTAAGTGATATAACAAGTGTGATAATTTATTTGTTGATTCTGTACAGGTTTGTAACAGTGGTTAATTAGTTATAGAAACTCTATGTTGGACAGTGTCCATTTCCGGAGGTATATTTGTTATACAGAATGTTCTGGAAGTTGCCCCAGCCACCATCTTCAGGTGATTGGTTGTCCTTATATTGACACTTTTTTGTGTTGTTAGTGACACATACAGGACCATCAATAGTATCTTGAAAGGACTGTTGTCACTAACAATATTAAAAAAAAAGTGTCAGTCTAATGACAGTCTTGTGAAGACATAAGTAGAGCCAACTCCCAAAATATTGGGTATATCAAATATATCTCACGCAATAGATAATGTTGAGCATAGTGGTTATATAATTTATTTACTGTTCTTGTTACAGCGTTGACAGAAGGGCGTGGTCAGGCACGTGGTGAAGTTGGTATTGCAGCTCTGGATATCAATTATCCACACCTGATACTGTGCCAGATCAGCGACAGTCAAACTTACGTTAATACTCTCACAAAAATCAATGTCTTGAATCCAATTGAGGTACATTAGATTTTATGGGTTGTTTATTATATTAATATGAATACTGTGAAATAAAAATATGAAATTCATATGTGTAAGTTATTACAAGCCACAGCAAATTCTTTGTTATTCAAGATATCAGTAGAATTTGCAACTGAATTCTCGACCAATTCTGTCCATTTCTCTTTCTCACACCTAATTTCTCATTGAGCTATTTTTATGTTATCTCTGGTCTTCCAATTGATCATTTTTCAGTAAGTTTAGTAAAAAGAATTTGTACAAGAACTTCTTGCTTTCCTCATCTGAGCTCGTCAGGTTCTTTGTGTAACATATATGAAATTTCAAAACGCAAATCCTGGTGCTTCGAATTTTACAAGTCATGAAATTTCAAAATGTAAATCCTGGTGCTTCGAATTTTACAAGTTTACATAAAAAATGTGTTTTTTTTTGCTGTTGATTATCTGCTATATACAAATATGACAAATTGGTAAAAATTAAGTTTTAACTAGTAATAATGTTCAGAATTAATTAAGATAATAAGCTTTTAATAGTTTTTTTTAAAGCAGTAATTGTTTTGAATGTCAGAATTAATTAAGGTAATAAGCTTATATTAATAGATTTGTTTTTTTAAAGCAGTAATTGTTTTGAATCCAGTGAAAGCAAATTAATTTGGTTATTTGTAGTACTGTATGTGGAAGTTTGGTATTGATTTTTAAGCTTGTTTAGGCTTTTGACCACAAATTATTCTTCCTTCCTCAGATTATTTCTACATTTTTTTAGAAGGTAAATACAAACATTTAAAATTTCCAGGCCTCTTCAGTGTGACCTTTTTATTCTTAACAGATTATAGTACCAAACACCTTCTGCGATACACAGGCAATGAGTAAGCTCTACACTCTTGTTCAAGAAGCATTTCCTACAGTGACTCTAAGCAGTGTCCTGAGAAAGCATTTCAGGGATACTAGGGGACTACAACAGATTCAGCATCTTTGTGCAAATGAATACTCATCTATTGAAATTGTGGTGTCACAGAAGTACGTATGCTCTCAAACGGTAGAAAGGCCCTGTTTATCCTTTACCAATGTTCTGTGGATTAGTTTCATAATTATATATTTTGATTACACAACATATCATGTGTAAGTTAAGTCAAGTCTGGGTTTGTGGTTTAACGATGTGCTGGTGCTGCACGTGGTCAGCTGGATCATGTGTAAGCTGTGACACGTGGATGATTAAGGTCGAATGTCATCTGTCTTCATATCCGGTGTCACCAACATTGTATTTTTCCCTTGTCTAAAGTTGTATTTACTCTCTACAACAGGTTTTATGCATTAGCTGCAGCCGGAGCTTTGCTCAAATACATTGAATTTGTTCGGAATGTTTTATTTGCACCAAGGAGTTTGAAAGTGGAGTATCAAGGATCACAGAACACTATGGTGATAGGTATGCACTTCTATTTGTTTAAAATGTGGCTTGTATGAGATATTCGGTAGAAATTTATCTGAGGGCAATCAGAGATCTATTTGGCCCAGTCAGTCATTATAAGGCTTTGAGACTTGTATGCTATTGATTCACTAAGTTCTGGATGACATTCTTGTAGAAACACATGATTTGTTGACGTTTATTGCTTCCGTTTTGTCATACACACGTAAACATTAACATGTATCTACTCAGTGTGTTCTGGAATGCAATGGTTTGTGGTATTGTAGGAGGTTAGTTATTAATGTTTTGGAGAAACAACAAAATCATTCTTGATTCTGACTGCTCAGAGCTCATAAACGTGACAAAAATAAGTGGCAGATATCAAATATTCTGCATTCTTATTGTGTAGTAGTATTCTATTGTAATATAATTATAGTTCCACTTTACTGTCACTTACACAACTTCAATACTGCTTAATGCATTATTACAGCATTTGACTGGAGTTGCTTCTGTTTTAACTGTTATACTACCATAATTATGCAGTTTCCTGGTGTGAATTTGTTGCAGTATGTTGGATTTAATAACAAGATAAACCACTCCAATAAAAAGTAAAGTTAAGTTTGTCCCACTATGCGCCATGTAGGCGTTTGGGGTGAGTGGAGGTATAGCTCCTCTCTTCCTTGACCTCGGCACTAGATGGGGGTGAGTGGTCAGCATCACGCCCCGGCCGGCTTTACCCCCGGGAAAGGACCCCTTACCCATTGTAGAGGAGGCTGGGTGGGCCCCAGAGCCGGTCTGGACGCAGAGGCTAGAGGAAAAATCCTCTGCCCCCGTCGGGGATCGAACCCCGGCCGTCCAGCCCGTAGCTAGTCACTATACTGACTGAGCTATCCCGGCTCATTAAACCACTCCAATACAAAACTTAATAATTAGAAATAAGTACAGTCTTCATAGTTTTTAATCTGTGATGCTATTGTCTACAGTTACATAGTTACGTGTAATTATCTTTGTCTTGTCTTCGTTGTGTGCGCTTGGTGTAGTGTCACGGTGTACATAACGACACAAATGAAAACAAATTTTATTGTATTTTATTTATATTATTTTTATTAACTTTTATGGTTTATCTTCTCATTAGATCCAACATAATACAACATATTTATGTTATGATAAGTGATAGTATAGTAAAATTATAATAACTTACATAATTGTTAATACACCGTCTAGAAAATAATTTCCAGAACCAATGGTAAGTTGTGCATTTTTGTATGAAAATATGCATTTGTTATAACCAAATATTGTATTCTACTTGTTAATGAAAGTGTATTCATTTGATACCTAGACATGAAGACGGCACATTTTTTGGAACTGATTCTGAGTTTGCGAGGTTCCAATAATCAATACAGCCTCATGGGTGTTATGAACCACTGCCAGACTAATGGTGGGGTTCGTCTGCTTCGATCAAACATACTAGAGCCTCCGTGTCTACTCGAAACTATTCTTACTCGACTGGACTGTGTCCAAGAAATATTGGAGTCATCGGAACTAAATCTTGCTCTGGAAGTAAGCGACATTGTGTTCTATGTTACATCAGTGTAAATTTTTTATTTTATCATATCTCAAATACTTCTCATATACATAATTTAGTTTAAAAGTAAAAATCTATTAAATTATGCATCTCAGTTTCATGTACATTGGTTGATGGTCAGTCTTAATGATCAGGCATAGGGCTCCCCCCCAAATTGAAACAAATATTAATCTTTTGTAGCGCAAGGAAGTGAGAGCTATTTCCTTCAGCTGGTGGGGGAATAGAATCTTCGTGGAAAGAAAGTCAGACTGAAACAGGGTGAGATTTAAACGTGTGAGACTGATTTGATTGAAGTGTATGGATGAGGTCACATCTAAAGAGAACAATGAACTGTCAGGTGTTCAGAAGTTTTTAAATGTGTTACAACTGTTTGGTATAATATATGCAACTCATACGGAATTAGACTTTTCCCAATAAAAATATTACATGAATTTTTACAAATGCATCAGCGACTGCGTTTGGTTCACTTGAATTGTGTATGGATAATTTATTGTCCTTTCTTGACTTATAAATTAAAGGTTAATTTTAAGTGTATTAAAGGTAGACAAAATTGAAGAATTATACTCTTAACAATATTAAAAATAAGTATATAATTTAATATATTGATTCATACTTTAAACTGGTAATAATATTCCTGTTAATTGTATTATTATTGATACTGTTAACTAATCTGTCTGTAATTTTGTTTTCAGTCACTCATGCCAAAATTCTGTGATGTGAATCATTTGCTTGCACTATGTATGCAAATGCCACGGCAGGATAGCAAGGAAGTGGCCGAGACACAGATGAAATACACTTTACTACTTAAAACAACATTGGAAATATTACCAACCCTCAGACTGGCTCTTCAGAACTGTGAATCCAGGTTCCTGTGTGCTGCTAGAGAAGTATGAACTATAAATTAACGGCACTCTTTCTGAAAACGTAAACATTTTTCTTTGTCTCAGCTGTTTCGCAAAGTGGAAAACTTTCGCGCAAAATCTAGAGCAGTTAACAAGAAATATACATGAAGATGATTGTATTCTAGGATGCTGCACTGCGTAGTCTGGTAGAAATTGTGTTTCATCACCCTGATGATGGAGGTAATAAACAGCTCTGAAACATCAGTCATTTTTTACCTAATTAGGGTTTGAGGTTCTTATAACAAGTGTGAAGATATCTGTCTTTTGGGTTGTAATGCCATGTACTTGCTTCTTCCATCATCAGGGTTCATGGCACTACGACCTAGAAGGCAGCCATCTTCGTACTTACTGCCATGAGATCCTGAAACCTCACCAAGAGAAATATATGATATTCTCCACATTTCTGGGCATGATAAACTTCTTTGTTGTAAGATATTATTTTTATGTGAATAATTTGTATATCAACATTTTATTATCTTTTCACAATTATTTCACTGAAATAATAAGTGTATTATGATGTGAATTTCCTTTCAGTGTGTATCTCAGACTTCAAATAGAAACTACAGATGTACTAGATTATTTCGTAAATAATATTTGGGATAACAGTTATCTTTTTTGCAGTGTCTTGCTGATGAACGCTACCAAAATATTCATTGCAAAATCTTATCGGTCTTACACGACGATGCACGCACTGCAAAAGGAGCAGAAGCCTCCCAAATGCAATGTAACTTTGCCGTTAAAGCAGGTATCAGTGGGATTCTGGATCTAGCCCGACAGACGTATTGTGAGATTGTTAGTGATATATCAGGTTAGTTTTCTTTACCTGTGCCAAAAATTAAAACACTTAATTACTGTAGTACTATTAGTTATACTTATTGTACGATGGGTCTGCAGTGGTCGCGCGGTCTGAGGCGTGGGCCTTGTGCCACTTGGTCGCTGGGACCGTGGGTTTGAATCCCACTCAAGCCATGGATGTCTTTCTGTGTTGTGCTGTCCTGTGTACAGGTAGAGGCCTTGCGACGGGCCGATCCCTCGTCCAAGGAGTCCTACCGAATGTCTATAGATCAAGCCAACGAAAAAGTTGGGACCCGCAGTGCTCAGGCACTTGAAGAACGGGTCGTTCCCAGTATCCCAGTATTGTCTGATAATGTTTCTATTGTATTGACATTTAATAGTTTAAACATGTTTTTATATGTAAATTCTGCCTTATTATATCCAATATTCATAACTAATGAACCTATCCTCTATCAGAATTTGTTTGCAAACATTTTAATAAATTATGCTCCATGTATTTTACCAGAATGTCAAGATGAATTTTTGTGTTAGATTACATAAAGTAGTTCTGAACAGATAAATATAAATTTGTTTCCGTTTTCAGCTCTTGTAGCACGTTTAGCCAGTGAACACAGTTTACCACTGAAGGTTAATTACAATGGTAATTGGGGTTATCATATTCAACTTTCTCAAAGTAAAAGGCACATCAGTGAATCAGATCTGCCTCCAGTCTTTGTTCAGGTCAGTAGTAATAATTTTATACCAGAAAAGAGAGGGGAAAGGACACTTGAGTCAAAGAATTTATACACAGATCATGACTTAAAACTGTATCCAAATATTTGTAAATTACAAACAAACTTTTGCCACTGCCTGTGTAGATAAAACATTTTCAGCTAAAGAATTAAAACTAATGAAATCCAGGAAAGACATCTAGACATGTGTATAGTTTATAATTGAAATATTTTTCGCATTTAATTAGATAAAGGTTTATGCAGTCCTTAAAGCAAAGAAGTTTCTAAATTTCTGTTTATCTAAATTTTGGGTAAGTTTTGCCATGCTAAACTCTGACAAAGTGTTCAAGAGTTCAATGAAGGTGTTGTTTTATACACTTTGTGCAAAGAATGCCTACTAAAATTGGGAAATGAAGCACATCCCTTTTGTTACAATTGTAATAATTACGAGCATTAATTTTAATTGTGGTGTTTAATATTTTTAGGTCCACAAGAATCGAAATACCCTGTCATTCACTACCCAAGAGTTAATCCAAGTAGATCGAAGAAGTAAAGAAACTTTGAAGGAAATAATAATGCTGAGTAACGTGTAAGTATAGATTCAGTGGTTAATTATATTAAAATAAGCAGTAATTAGCTGTGACATGACCACGCCTTGGATGTTCAGGCATTAAAAACTTTTATTTAGGGTCTTAAATCAACATTTATTACTTCAGAATAGGCAATTGTGTAAAGGAAAATAGATTAATCAGTTAATTATATTTTTGCTGTATTTCAATACTTCTTTGTTTCAGTGTAATTTGTGATCTTCTGGCAGATATAAGGAGTGACATTGGGTGCTTATTCAAGTTGTGTGAAGTAATTGCTGAACTGGACATGCTTACCTCATTTGCTAATTTGGGTTCAGTCTCTACGTATGTTCGACCACAATTTGGGAGGGTTCTGGATATCAGACAGTCTAGGCATCCCATATTAGACTTCATTTTACAGCATGAACCAGTTGCTAATGATGTGGTATGTGCAGTATATTGCTGTAGATAAGAATATTGGGTCTAGATTGTAAGCCTTATTGGGAACAATGATTTATTTCAGTACTTTTTCAACGACAGAAGCTTATAACCAAATGCAAATGGTGGTGATGATAATGTTTGCCATACTGAAGTGGTTCTTAACCTTTTTAATCCCTAACCCAAGTTATTGATTTGGTGACCCAATCTTGAATATTAATTGCATTTAGTGAATAAACGTAGGTAGGTCATTTCCTATAAAAATTGAAAGACCAATTAACTGTTAAATAATAATAAGCATTTTTAAAAGTAGCATTTACAACAGTAATTGTGGAGCTTTGAAAATACATATATATATAAATACATTTATCACAGGTTGGTACCTGCCAAGGAGCTAAGTAACAGATAAAATGTGAAAAGTTATAAAATAAAATAAAGGAGTTGTGAGACTTTCAAGAACAGAAGTTGGCATCAAACTCTGTGAACTTTGGTATTTTATATGACTTTTCAAACCATGCTCCTTTTTTTCTCTCTCTCTCTCTCTCTTCATGCCCAGGCATGCACATTTCTGCCTCTGCCCTCACCCCTGTCATTTTGAGTGCCACCTTTCTACCTTCACTATCTTATCAAAATAAAATTTCAGCCAATATTCAAATTATACTGAGATACTGGATGACCCACTTAAATTAATATGATCTCATTTTGTGCCACGACTCAGGGGTTTAGAATCACTGCCATACAGGATCAGGAAATGCATCCTAAAAAACAACATAATAAAATGAATACTAAAGGTGAACACAATATTGTGAAACAGGAGGTTACATTCCAGAAGGCAGTATGGAATCCAAGCACAGCTACCAGTAGATGGCATAAAAATACATACTCCAGACACGACACACATAAAGTAGCTCTTAATAAGACATACATTTTGTGTTAAGTACATTTTATTCAAATGATGTGTTATGCTTGAGATAATTACACCAAACAGTGAAGTTATTCTTATTTTAGTTTATTCAGCCATGCTTTCGTAACTGCAGGTAATTGTCTATAATAAATTGGTAAGGAGGTACAGAAATTAAGTTGTGGCCTGTTTTAAAATACTACAACTTGGGCAGACTGAGGAAAACCAAGAAATACAGGAGAGCCAGATTCTGGGCTGAGAATTGAATGAGGAATTTCCTGTCACTAAGCAGCAGTGTTAACCATTAGGTGTGATGCGTGATTCAAATGTTATGTTCATGTACAATTACGTTGAAGGTCATCTGTATTATGCCTGAGGAAAAAAATGGAGGTAAATTCTGAAACATCGGAATTTTATACTGATAACTTCACATGCTTTGAAACATCTGAAGAAAGTATTGAATTATGTAGCCACAAAGGTTTAGAAACATTATAAGTCGGTAGTTAATTCAAACAGGAAGATTAAAATAATTTTATTATAAACATTATAATATAAAGCACATCTGTGTTGCTGTGTGCATCCTTGTGATTTATGACATTCTCTTTTGTAGTTTGCATCCAGTGACTATAACTGTCATATAATCACAGGCCCAAATATGGGTGGGAAGAGTATCTACATCCGTCAAATCGCTCTTCTGCAAATAATGGCACAGGTAAGCAAAATATAATTCTGGCTTAACTCAGTTATTTTCACTGTTTTTATGATCTTAAGTTTGAAATTTTCCAAGAATTAGCATGTTTAAGAAACACTTGAATAGATGTATTTATTAATAGAAATACTTAAGACATTTTTTAACTTAGTTGCTAAAGACAGTCTGTAGAGTTACGTGTATACAACATTTATTAAGTAACTTTTCTCATTCATAAATTTATTCTAGAGTGCATAGTGTAAAACTATATAATATATTTACTCAATCCTTATCCAACTGAAGTATAGAGGAAAACAGCAAATTTATTGCACGATTTCTCAGCTTTTGTTTTATTGTAGTGCTCAGACTTATTCTTCTGGATTGTTTCTAATAAAACAGTCAAATGAATGTCCATGCTTCTTCATTGTAGCCATGAAAATACACTGAAATTCTTTGGAGACATTGTTTAAAATGTATTTAGCTGGTGGTAGTCTTGTCCTTTTTCAAGTACAGTAATTGAGATATTATTCCAAAATTTATTTAGTATAATTCACCATTGAATTTCTAAAATTTCTTGTTACCTGATCTCACCACTTGTTTTAGACGACGAACTGTAAGAATGGATATTTGGTGACATACTAGATTTAAAATGAACGATGAATTTAAACTTTACACAGTAAACCAATAATTTTGAAAATGTCATGGCTTCAACAGACAACATATTACTTGTAAATGTGAAACCTACATGTTGCTTGTATTTCAGTAATTATACTTTGATTCAGTCTATTTTAATTTCAGATTGGTTGTTATGTGCCAGCGCAAGCAGCAACTTTTCGCATATCAGATCACATATTTTCGAGGCTTAGTTTTGATGACAGTATTGAATGCAATGCATCTACTTTTGTGCTTGAGGTATATTGTTTAATAATGTACATAACCTGTTGTTATGGAAAGAATTAATAATTTCCCAATTCTTTTCATAAAGTCTTGTTTTCCATGTTGGTAATATTTCCTAAATTTCAGTAATGTAGAATTTCTGCAGTGCATAGCCATCATAGCCATATTGTAACAGATTTTCTAGAGTTTCTTACATTTTTACTGTTAACTTGCCAGATTGAGTTCAGGTGTAGATTTCCTGATTCTCCTGTGCAGAAACTGCTCCAGTCAACCATCAATGTTACGAGACAATAGTTTGTATGATATCCATTAAACACTTTCCTTGAAAGTCATTAGAAGTTTCTCTTAAGAGTGGAATGTGTTACGAGAATGTACATCAGGCTATAAAGATTTTAAAACGTCATTATATCACGTACATGTCGTACACAAACTCAAGAAAATTGATAAGATGGTTTTACTCACTTAATTTGAGGGGGAAGAAATTTTTGATGGTGATGAAACAGAAGAATGTGTAAAAAATCAACCTGTGCGTGTTAGGAAAATTAAACAAAATACCGAGCTCTGTATTTCAAACGTCACTGCAAAAACTCTGGACCAGGTTGCAACAAACACAAAGGTAAGAGTGAATGTATTACTAAACACAGTGGACGTTTCCAACACTCAATATAAAATTGTTTTTATTTTTTTGATTTCAACATATTTTATTTTTTGACAAATAGAACATATATTTATGTGTTTTGATTCATTGAAGCTGAAGGAATTCCAATTTATCAAGCAAGTGATGACACCGAACTCTCTTATCATCGTGGATGAGTTGTGCCGAGGCACGTCTTGCGAAGAAGGAACAGCCATTGCTTGGGTTATTATGGAGCAGCTCATGGAAGAAGACGCTTTCATATTTCTAACAACGCACTTCCTGTATCTTACTAAACTGCAGGAATTGTTCTGCAATGTAACGAAGTACGTGACTGATATTTCTGCTGCAGAAATCTTAAGATACGAACACAACTTATTATTTTTCTGAAATACTGCTATGAGAGGACTATTGCAATTATATTCCTCAAAGTCACACATTTTAAAATATTCTTTTGTAGACAAATATTTTCCATTTGTATGTCTTTTATAATTTTAGCACTCTCTTTCAGCCATCATTTTGAAGCTGTGCAGGAAACTACTGATTCAGGTCGAGACCGACTAGTATACACCCACAAACTGCTTCCAGGTGTAACTCCAGTTGATAATTATGGTCTTCATCTAGCTCAAGGATTAGCCTGTCCAGAATCAGTACTGGACAATGCTAAGAAATTGGCACAAAAGTTATCGTTACAAAGAAAGGTGAAACGTGGCAATCATAACTGTGTTTGTAAGGGAATTCAAGTTGTGGGTAACTGACAAGAAGTGGTCGTCTAGCCTCGGACTTACAGCTTCCTATTATGAAAAAGCAGCGTAAAATGTTACACAGGGCCTTGGACCTAAGCAGTGGAAAATTTGTATGGAATCTGGGACGTAGAATGCCTTTTGAAAATGTAGCAAAGTTAAATTATTTGGGAATAACATTAACAAATCAGAATTGCATTCACAAAGGTATCAAGAGTAGCCTAAATTTAGAAAATTGTTGTCGCCATGCAGTTCAGAATCTTTTGTCTTACTATCTGCTATTTAAAAATGTAAAGATTAAAATACAGAAAAATATAATTTTACCTTTTGTTTTGTATAGATATAAAACTTTACATCTCATATTGAGTGTGTCTGAAGACAGGATTCTTGGGGAAGGTTTGGACGTAAGAAGAACAGAGTTGCAGGAGGGTGAAGAAATTTGCATAATTTGTAGTCTTCGTCGCATATTAAGATAATGAACAAGTATGAGATGTGTGGGGAATGTAGTATGCATGGGGGAGATGAGAAATGTATTTTTATTGCTGCCTGTATTTAGAAATTTATACAAGATTTTAGTTGGAAAACCTGAATGGATTAGATCAGTTAGGAGACAAAGGCACAGATTGAAAGGTAACACTAAAATGTATCTTAAAGAAATAGGGTGTTAGAGCGCTAAGTAATAGATTGCTGTGAGCACAGGAATGAATTTTCAGGTTCCATTAAAGGCCAGAAATTTCTTCACCACTTGAGCAATTCCGATCAGTGGAGTTGATTATGGAGTTATTAAATTGTGCTAATTTTAAACACCTCTTTATAAATAAGTTTTAAATTAAATAACACAGATTGAAATTATTATATTCCATATATCTGTGATAATTACTTTTGAATCATATTTTCATACTTTACATCTGATAATAACTTAGTAACTCTTTATTTAGAGTTAATTTGTCATAAATTATCTCATCACAGTTTGTCTTATCTTATGCACCTTCAGGCATTTGGTTCATCTGTAACGAACAGTGATATGCATAATTACTATAAATTGGCATCGACTGTAATTGAATGTGTAAGAGAAGGCACCTTCTCTGCCCAGAAACTTGAGGAGATGAAGCAGAAGATTTTCATGAAAGTTGGGGAGAATGATGGTACTGAAGCGTGGGATGAGGATGGTGGTGCTTTGCAAGAAGAGGAAGAAGTGGTACAGGTAGACTTTCCACATTCCAAATATATTCTTGTTTCCATTGATTGAGTGAGCCTTTTATTATTTATTGCCACTAACTAACTAACTAACTAACTAGATGGCTTACCGAACCCGAAGGTTCATCACCGAATTAACCAAAGCCCTCCACCAGACCCTGTCCTGGGCCAACAAAATCCAGTTTCCTTCAACTCCTATCTCCCATAGATCCCGCCTGAGATTATCCTCCCATCTACGTCTAGGTCTCCCCAGCGGTCTCTTCCCTTTTTAACCCTTCATCAGGCATTAATAGAGCGGACAAATCAGTGCAGATGAGATTGGTGGGATGCGTAGCATGCATGGGGCAATGAGAAATGCAAAGTTTAAAAATTGAAAACACATCACAAAATTAGTTGGTTAAAAGTGATTTGGCAAATGAACATTTTTTTTATCCCAGTAATGAAAACTCATAAATACAGTGTGGTGAAATATCTGATTTTCCTCAGTCCTTTGGGATAGATTCTGTGATAGTAAAATTAAATAGGACATATCTGCATCCCTCCTAATTCACTATCCATAATAACACTTACGTGTCTTTAACACTAACCTCTGTAGTTCACACAGCATTAATCAATACGATACAAAGAATACGTTCTCATATGTGAACTTTCCCCTCTCGTAATGTAAATTTGGCTATAGTATGTACACTTAATTAATATATGATACGAGATTGCATTTTGATGAAGGTGGTTTTCAAAACATTGGGAAGGTAAAGGTGAAGACTGTAATGGTAATACAGATGGAAAATGTTCTTAGAAGAATAAGAATTCCTTTTCTAAAAGAACGCAATAATGATTTCTCTTTACTTTGTTTCTTATTTTAATCCCTCTGTTAAAATGTATCCATTAAATTATTTTGTAGCCCACAAACTGATTAACAAAACTGATACTCCCCCTTATTTGTTATCTCCAGTCACTTGGTACAGTCAATAACGAGATGCATGCTAGTACCAGTTTGCCATCTCTTCAGCTCCTGAAAAATAAAGGAAGAAGCTGTACTTCTAAGGAGTCATATGCCAAAATATTTTCTGATGAATTTTTCCATGAGAATGCAGCAGAAGACAAGGCTGAGGGTGCCGTTCAAGAAGAAGCAACAGATGAGGTACGTTATTTTTGTACCGTATTAACCGAATTGGCATTTGACATTCTCTTAAATCAAATGAAGAATTTATTAAATTTATTTATTTACATATCTATTAAACCTTAACTGGTGACATGATAGAATATCGACCTTTGCCCTTGGCAAGTCAGATACTACTGATAACATTCATGACAATGTGCAGAGATGCCAGAAATGGAGTGTGTTTCGTATTTATATTGTTAATGATGTTTTCTGAATACTTGCAGCTTAAACACGTCTGGGAAAAAGAATTGGGGCGCCTCACTGTTTATGTCAAAGCACATTTTATATTAAACCTAATTTCATAAGTACATAAAATTACCAAAAGTTATACTGTAGGGCAATTGTGAACCAGTTCTTTTCAGTTTTTATGTTATGGTTGGAATTTTAATTCTATTCTTTTATTTTTTCATACAGTATCTGACAGGACACTGAAACCATTCTTTTGTTTTGCTTTAGCAGTCCACAGTTCTTAACCACACTTTTACTGCCAGACCTCTTTACAGCTGGATATATAGTGTATTAATGTAAAACTATTAGGCTGTTGCAACTTTGATATTTATCCATTCCCTTCTTTAGACATTTAAAAAGAGACATGAGATTGAAACAACAGCAAAGTCTGTAATATTTTTGGAGCAACAGACAGGAGATAGATTTTTCTCTAAGCAGATTCTGAAGGAGGTGCCAACAAATTTATTTTGTGCTAATATGATTTGTAATCAGGTAGTTGCTTCTATGCCAGAAGTTCAAGAATGTGTACAGGAAGAGGAACCAATGGAAATAGAATCCACTTGTACTCATGAAGGAGCTGTGAACTTGTCACCAATCATATCACTTCCTGAAGAAATTCAGTGAGGGAAATCAGTAGTGCTGAAAATGTATTTAATTCAATTAAACATTTCCTGTTGACATCTGGATGAAAGTGTCAGATACTGACTACAGCACAAGTGTTAATAAACTTAAGGTTGAGGGAATAAAATAATAGTTGATAATAGAAAATGTTAAAACTTGTATAAAGAATAAATATAGTTCTTTTACCTTTCACATGACAATACGTACTTATAGTTGCTGTCAGAATTTGATAGCTAATGTAACTTATTAAACTAGATTTAATGTACACTTAAGAAATGTGTTATGGACTGTTTATTGGTAAACCAAAGTAAATTAAAAGTTAATAATAAAAAGTTTTTTAAAAGATTGTCTCAGTTGTGTTGATGTGGGTTGTTATAGCAGACTCATAGGGTTATTTCCGAGGCTTTTGGTATTGTGTTAGTGAATGTCTGGATTCAATGTGAGGGAGCAAGTTAATAAATTGTTTGTTATTAACAGTATACTTTTCTGACGTCTTTTCAATACAAAGCCATTAATTATAGTTTGTCATCTTTCCATTTGAATCACAGAGCACATATTCTGTTGCTGCTATTTCTTTTCATACAATGGCACTATTGTCTTTGCAGGTAACTTATCTTTGCTTGATGTGGTATTTGTTCAGCTTGAATTATTCGGAATTCAGAATTTGTAATTAGGCATGGAACGGAATATCTCTTTTCAGGTGTTACTTACCAACCCAAATGCAGAAGTACAATTTTTATGGATTGAGCTAGTGTGAACGCTCAGGAAATTTGAAAATTTTCCGATAGATCGCTCCTGGTTGAAAACGAAATTTATCATTCGCATTGCATCAATTACGTATGTTGGTACGAGTAAAGAAATTGTTATATGTATTTGATTAATGGTTTATGTAAAAGTTCGTTTTATCACTCGTGATCGAAGTATAATGTCCTACAGATGATCATAATGAATAGGAAAATATTAAGTAGCACAGCCATAACATTGTAATGATTTGACAGCGTAACTAGAATTATCCACAGCCTAAATTATGGTGTAGACGAATGGTCTTGGTAAAGGTTCCCGTCATTTGGATGAATGACACTCACTGTTATGGCAAGGCGCAAATTAAATAAACATATAGGCTTGGTTACCTAGCATAAATGAAGAAATTCATCATTAGTGTAAGAAGAATTTTATAGTGAAAATGTACGAAACTGCATAAAGGCAGTCTGTTTCAAGGTTAGGAAAAAGTACTGAAGTAAGGTTTTAGACTACTTTTTGTGTCATATACTGATGTTATAATAGTGACCTAATAAACTTTCTGGCCGCTGTCCAGTGATGATAAGGGCTAGCCTTAGTTTAAATATAGAAAAATCTGTTGTTAGCTTTCTAGATGTGGTGTTGCAAAAGAGGTGATAACAGTAAGAATGTGAGAAGAATAATTCGTAATGACCTTTATTATAGGAATATGTAGCCATAAAATGAACATGAAAATGACATTTTAAAGGTAAATTTATCTGTCTTTAGTAATTTTATATGTCACTTTGATAATATTGAATGTACGGTGAACATGTATATAAATATATTTAAGTCACATGTGATTGGATCTATTTTGATGTTGATGGTGTAGATGTGATTACTTTTATTTTGCTGGCAGTGACATTGTTGACCTAAACACAGAAATGGCAACTGGCGAGGAAGAAGTTCGAGCCATCTGGAAGATGGCAGATGCTGTCTGTTTTGATGTTGATTCAACTGTCATTCAGGAGGAAGCAATTGATGAATTGGCAAAATTTTGTGGTAAAGGGGATGAAGTTGCTAAAATGTGAGTTTTTTTCCAATGTAATACATGTTTATACATTGCATGAAGAATATGCATGTATATTTTAAAAGCATAATGACTGTAGCTTTTTATTGTACTCCTTGATGTTCATCATGTGTTATTATGCCTTGAAAAAGTGTTGACTCTAATACTTTTCTAAGTCTCTCCAGTAGTCTCTCAATTTTGATCTTGTAACTGATAATACATGAGTTCTTTTATGTAATTATTATAAAGCATGAATTTAATTCACTTTAGTTTATTTGAAGTACCATGTGGCTGTGTAGCTACATTATTATTTAATGTTTCTGCCATGGGTGTCTTCTTTTTTAAGTTTTTGAGAAATAAACTTAACTTCTTACTTTATTTCTAGCATGTTACCAAATAACATAACTAACCTGTTGCTGTTGGTACATTATGTGAGAATAATATGTAAGCTTCTTCGTTTCGCAACTGATATTCACTTGGACGGACAAGATATTCCCAGCCTTGAATGGAACCTGGGGATTCATTGTCACATTCACTGAAGCCTGTCACTGAGCCCTATCCTGAGCTAGTCAAATCCATCTACGCCCTCAAATTCTATTTATATGAGGAACTTTTTAATATAATTTTTCTGTCTGTGATAAGTCTCACAGGTGGTATCTTCTAACCTGCCACTGAGCCATATCCTGAGCTAGTGAAATCCATCTACGCCCTCACATTCTATTTATATGAGGAACATTTTAATATAATTTTTCTGTCTCTGATAAGTCTCACAGGTGGTATCTTCTATTCAGGTGTTTCAGTTAAAATTTTATATACATTGCTTGGTACTTGTGGGTTATCGGGACACATCCCTTTAAAAATAGGTTAGGTTAGGTTAGGGTTGTTGTTATCTGTTAGTTTGTTCAGTTATTTATTGCTATCCACACACTTTAACCTAAACTAACCTAACCTAACCTAACATATTTTTAAAGTGATGTGTCCCGATAACCCACAAGTACCCATTGCTTATCTCCTATATGCATGCCACTTGTCCAACCCATTGCATCTGCCCCGTAACTGTAATAATATCTGTAAAGGAGTACAAATCGTGTAACTCCTCATTATTCAGTTTTCTCCATCTTTCTGCTACTTCCTCTTTCATAGGTCAGGTACACTTCTCAGCATCTTATTTACAAACCCACTCGGCCTGGTCTTCCTTTAAAGCAAGAGATGAAGTTTCACACCGATACAAAGCAACGGGTAAAATTAGAATCTGCATTTTAGTATTTCAGGTGTTGGATGGGAGGCAGGAAAATTAAAATTTTCTGAACTCGCTGAATGCAATTTTAATTTGTTATTGTCATTTCCAATTATTTTAATTTTGATACATTTTTTAAAAGAATTTATTAGGAATCTGTTTGTAGTTATCTCATCCTACAGGATGTGGACATACACTTGATTTTTTCTGCGTTTATTTCTTGACCAACCTTTTTAATAGTATCTAATAGAAGATAAATTCTTCATGTATGGGCCACAATGAATTTTTGTTTCTGTATAATAAAATTTAAGTGTGCATGTGGTTGATTTTTGTAATAATTATAAAATATGTAAGTGTATCTAGAACTGAATGGGACATTAAAATATTTCACAAAATTTAAATTCTTGTTATGTTGACATTTGTTGGATCCTCGTAAGCAGGGGTTAGAAAATCTTGGCTGATTTCATCAGTCACACAGTGACGGATAAAAAGGAACTGGTGAATTATTTTAATGTAATTCTTTTCTTACATCCTGATGTTAAAACACATGATGAAAGCTTTAACAAATGCCTTCGTACCCATGCCATTTATAAATTATATTAAATTGGAGATAGCAAAAGAGAATATTCATGACAGAAATCAACAACTTTTTGGATTTTACTTGTCTCGTGAGCAGACAAACGCGTATGTTAATCCCTGAACATAAGCGTAGGGATTTTTGGAATGTTATGTTTTCTAATGCTTTTGCAGGACCAAAGAAGCCATGAGAGGAAGTCTTAGTTTCCAGCAGGCATTTGCTCGACGCTTGGAAATTATTAGACCACAAATGAACCAGATACGAGATTTTATTCGAATGAAACCTCCGAGGTTGACTCCTGGTATTAAGTAAGTTTTTTGTTGCAGTGCTGGTGATTGCGTTATTATTCCTCTCTTTATATCCGCTGGTCGTGGCTAAAAGCCGTGCCGCTTTCAATCCAGGAATAAGTTAAGTGGTAAAGAAAATGGTGCCGATGAAAACCGTCCTTCTGTGACTGCTGAAATCAAAATGAAGCCGTAAATTTTATTATTCATGTTGTTGTATTGTAGTAATTGATATTCTGTGAAATGTGTTTATGGTTTTTGTGTGAAATTTGTGTACTGAAGTTTTTATTTGCATTTTTACACACATCTTGAGGGGCTTGCTTAGCCAGTGTAAGGTACACTGTACATTAATTTTATTATGTTATTAATTTTATTAGAAATCTAACCTTGGTTGATTGTTTAATATCTTCCCGTAGTTCTGCACTGTTTGTCTTCTGGGTTTTTGCACCACGTAGTCTGGTAGACATTTACCGATGTTTCAGAGGTCCTTCGCTGCCTCCGTCATCAAGGAATGTTTACAAAATTCTGTCGGACTACACGGCGCTACAACCCAGAAGACAGCCATCTTTTAATTTTATGTCACTGTTTTTAAGTATACGTGGAATGAAATATATTTCAGTCAAAATTTATGTCTTAATGAGATTAATATTTTGCATATTATGAGTTACTCCTGACGTAATCGGCAGTAATTGATTTTAGACGTTAGTTGTAATGGGTAACACAAGCTTTTATGTTTACAGTCTTGTTTAATCCACTGACGTACCGAGTAAGAATTTTATTGGCGAGGTGGAAGTAAAAATTAGCTGATATTTTCATGGCAGTGGAAATGTCAATTGCGGTATTCTGGGTCGTGACACGTAGTCCTTAACATTTCAGAGGAACGTGTTGCATTTGTCTTTAGAATAGCAGACCACAGTCAACATAGAGATATTTTAAATGGTCTTTACATCATTGAGGTTTATTTTTGAATTATTTCCTACAGGCGACTGATGGATGTGCTACATCAGCGAAGTGTTCCTGTCTACCTGATATCTGGTGGTTTGAGAGGGGTCATAACTCCAGTGGCACTGGAATTAAACATACCGTTAGAAAATGTGTACGCCAACAGATTAAAATTCTTTTTCAATGGCAAGTGTTTGTGGTTGTATTACGATTAAGTATTCTTTTGAATCTGTGTAAATTACGAGGTGTTACTCGGTGTTTAATTCTATCCTGCTCCTGAATTCATTATTTACTACCATAGATATCTCTGATTCCACAAGAAGAAATGTTTTGTAAAAAGCATTTTTTTCAAAGGTGTTGCTGTAGAACCTTTGGAAAGTGCTAGATCGCTGCGTTCACATCTAAAGCCTAGGTAGTCTCTTCCCTGATAGAAGAAGCAGATGCTCTCGTCTAACTTGTAGTGCAGTTTCACATTAATAAAATTGGAGGAATATGAAATAAATATTTTTTTCTGTTCGATAGAAGCTCTTAACGTTTGCTTCGATTCTGCTGTGTGAAATGTGTAGATTACCGACCGCAGCGTTACGTCGATTTATATGTACGTGGCGAGTGAATAGTTTCACCAGTCGGTGCTCTCACACACGTCTTGGAATGAAAAAAGAGCAAAAGAGATTGCACCTTGCTAGCGTTACGAGTCTGTGCAGTCGACATCGCACCGTGCCCCAGCCAAGCTGGTAGGTGTGTTGCGTAACATAGGAACATTTTTTTTGTTCCTGGAACACGCACACTAAGTTTGTAAACATAATTCTGACTCGCTCTGTGTATTTCATGTATTTTTAAAAATATTTACAAACATGGTATAGTTCTTATGCATTTTTGGTAGTATGTGACGTTCTGTTCTCTCCTAACAAATTTCAGGTGAATTCGCTGGATTTGATGAAAATGAACCGACATCAAGAAATGGTGGTAAGGGAGAGGTTATAAAACTGTTGAAGAAGAAACATGGCTACGGTAATGTAGTGCTGATTGGTGATGGTGCAACTGATCTGGAAGCATCTCCACCAGCTGATGCATTTATCGGTAAATATATGTGACCGGCAACGTAATGTGAGTTCTGTGGTTGTCCGAATATGAGATTGTTTATTTTTATCACAGGTATTTTTACTTTTTGGAACTACTTTTTTATATTTTCGTATAATTTTTTACTTCAGATTTTCCTCAGGCACTGCACTGCCAGCAAATGTTCTGTGTTGGTACATCTAGGAAAAAATGAAATTTGGTTATCTGTTTGAAGATAACGTTGTAGTTGAACATGTATAAATTTTGTATTTTTAATGCTTTTAGGTTATGGTGGAAATGTCATACGAGAAGAAGTGAAATCCAAAGCTAAATGGTTTGTAACAGATTTCAAGGAACTGGTAGATGCCCTTTGAGACGCCAGTCGAGTGCGGTTTACGTTCTTAAATGGAGAAGCTGAGATGTCAGAGCCAGTGTTGACTGAAATAAAAATTGGTACTTTTTTAAAATAAAACTTGGTGAGATTTTGGCAGAAATTAGTTCACGAACCGTTAATATTTCATTATTTCAACCTAGAAAACATATCGAGTGTAATTGCTCGCAAAGACCTCAGCTTCTGCATTTGATAGCGCAGTTACACCTCAATACTAAAATTTTGGCAATTGATATGGACACGAGAATGAAGATATTTATTTTTATTGACATTTTTTTGCATAAGACGTGGCAGAACATGTCAGAATCAGAATAATAAATCAACTTTTCAGTTTTGTTTGAACTGATGTTATGTGAATGTTTTACCAACTGCTGATTTAGAAAGACAATGAACCTAACTCTTATGCGGCCCATCCACGTACGAGTCCGGCTCGGCTCGGGTTCCATCGAGCCAAACTCGTTTGTGGGTGGGGTGTCACGAGTCGAGTCTGCTACGCGTGTGTGGTGAAATATATCCGAGCCCGGCTCACGAGTCAAGCTCGCCGAGTAACCAATTTCCCGTGTTCAATACACGTTTTGGGATATTTCAAAACCTATAATTTTATCACCACCGTACGAGGTGAAAGGAATTGTTTTACCTTCTTTCAGAAGAGGAAGGTTATATTTTGCATGGACTGGATCGTTTCAAGGTCATATTATCAGATGGTATAATAGAGGGTGCGTGGAGTAAAGATGGCAGCGATTTTTTCATTATCATTGCTTGCAATTTCCTGCTTTGGTCACGAGTGTTGCGGACTACAGTGAGCGCCTCAGCGATGGTTTGTGAACATCTGCTGAGGCTTCTGATCGTCCTCAGTGTGTCACTTTTTTTTAACTCTTTGCGTAGGGTTGACATTTGGTCCCACTTGCTTGAACTTGTCGAACAGTTCATTATTTTTATGCCGATTACATTTAGGAAGCTCGAACAAAGCTTTTCTCTTATTTGTTTTATCTCAAATCCCAGAGGCTAATTGATAGAATGCTTCCTGAGTCCTGCTGCACATTTTACTGAGGAAATCATGATAATTTTACTCATTTCAGATACTTGACCTTTCAACTGCATGAACTCTTACATTTATGATTGTTCACAATTAATTTGCGCATTTTATCTGATGAAGGACGCAGCCTCAACTGTACCTTTGCTCAGTTATTTCTCAAGGAAATTGTTTTTGCAAGGGAATTTAGTGATTTACAGTCGGAATGTTTCCTGAGATTTCTTGTAAAATTCGTTAATGAATTATGTCAAATCTTCTTCTTCTTCTATGGCCCTCTGGTCCGTATTCGGTCCTTGGCCTCCTCAATTCTCCTCTTCCATTCGGTCCTCTGTTAGGTCCATCTGTCCGAGGCTTTGATCGAGGTTTCGAAACATCTTCCTTTTTACGGTGCAAGGTTGTTAGCCTTGCGACCAACCCCCAACCTGGAGGACCAGGGTACCTCTCCCCCTCGACCAATCTGGCTAGGGAGGCCCTACCAGTAGCTCTTGGGGTCACTGACGTACTCAAGCCCCACCACCTGTCCGATGGGTACCAAGATCCTTTCCTGGGGGTGAAGCGCGGCCGGTGCGTGACGCTGACCACTCACCCCCAAGCTCCTACATAGGCGTGTAGCGGGATGCTTTAATTTACTTATATTTTGGTATTGGTGTGTTTCCTTCCAAGAGAAAATCTTTGTTAGATTTATTTTTCTGATCTGAAAAAAATGTTTACCATTTTGTTAATGTTTACAATCGTCCTGAAGTTGGTCTTAATAATTGGCGCTTCCCAGTTTTTCGCACTGAAAGAAATCTCAGCGGTGGCTAATTTCAGAAGACTGCTGACGTCGATAAAACTTCCCGTGCTGCTTTCGTTAAATAAGGAATGTGATTTATATACGCACACTCACTCTATAATTCGTGAACTGTAAAAGAATGAGGAAGGAATTAAAATTGTATTTTGTATAATATTTGTTTAGGGCTTGAAATCAGTTCTATATTTCTATGGTAGAGGCAAATATAAATCTATTTAGTTGGAAATGTTCTTAGCAGTGCATTTAAGTCACTTGATATTTTAACTGTGATCAGAGCCATAAAAATTTCTGAAAATCAGATGCAACCAAGTAAGTATTCATCTTCCTACCATAACATTTAATTACAAAACGTGTTCATTTTCATTAATTATATATATTTTTAATGGTTATGTCTCCCTTGAAGATGCGTTTGTGTGATAATGAGTTGAATTTTTGTACGACCAACGTCTGTCGCGGCGAGCGAGACAATTAATTGCCATATATTGTGTTACTTCACTTGTTTTACATTCTGCGAAGTGTATGTGTTCTGTAGCGTATTGGAGGAAGATTACGAAATCATAAGCGTAATTTAAAGATGTTATATTTCCAACACATAATTGTAATGATGGGAATTTGAGGAGTTCGGGGATGAATTAAATTATGTCGGGGGCTTCTTAAAAGTAGGACATGCTCCAGTAGATGTGTGCCTGAAATTTGTCATCGCAACATCTGCAGGTACCATCTATGTATTTTATTAATACTTATTAATAATGCGCTAAACGGAGAATGTAAATTGCGACTGATTTACGAAGGAATGTAAAATATAAATACAGAGCTGAATTTGAGGTTAAAAATATTTAGTGTATTCTCACTTTAAATTTCTATTTCCTGCCCCTAAATGTTGACACCTTTTTCTAATTGAAACACTAGACGACATTTATGAGCATGGTTAGAAATGACTGCATTTATGTAATTATATTCTACGACTTGTCCACCGTCCGTGAAGGCGGTGTTAGTGTTTATTACTTCGTTGTGAATGAAGCGGAGTTAAATAAGGTGTAGTAATGAATGTCGGAGTCCATGAGGGGTGGATAGTATTCTCATTTAGTCAAATTCCCCACCCTCAGGAGGTTTATTTGTGTGTTCACATGAATCCAGACCACGTGCTCCAACCCTAGTTCTCCTGTTTTTTTAAATTTTTATGTTTTAGGTAGCAGATAAGAAGATGGCAGATTCTGAATTGCTTCTTAGCTAGCATTCCTCAGATTTAATCTGCATCTAATTTCTTTGTGAATGAAATTTTGACTTTTTAATCACTGTTCCCAAAAAATTTTTGACTTTTTAATCACTGTTCCCAAATATTTGAATTTTGCGCCATTTTATGTCTTATACCGTATATTTACGTCTTTGAAGCAGATTACTGTAGATAATAATGAAGAGAGAAGTGTTATAGAGTTTATGGGTTATATTTTTTTATGATATTCAATGATACGTGCATGTGACAGCTGATCAGGTCGACGTTAAGTTTTGGGACGAGAAAGACATAAGAAATTGTTAACATTTCTAAGAGTTTTTCTGCAGTGTCACTGCAGGCACCGTTCAGTTTTATGGTTAAAGTAATTCTGTGAAATGAAAAAGATTGCAAAATCTGGCCGTGTCCCAAACAGATATTACATAGAACAGTGTATTTATTGACTTTTAAATACAGCCGGTGACCTTGAAGGCAAGAGAAATTCGGCCTTGTCGTTGTCACTGACTGCCGTATAGATTGTTCTAGGGTGGGGGAAGGGAGAAATTGACCTGTTTTATCTGGAAAGAACCAGATCTGCTACTAGAATGCATAATTCACAGTGTGGTTATGTGTTTTTTAGCTTGTTGTTGCCAAATGTGAGCTTCGAATTCCAAGATTTGCAAGATTAAATTGTGAGAATTTCCTTCTTTTAGCGTCTTTTAACCTTGAAGAAGGACAGATGACAAAGCATGAGTTTGAAAAGTTATTTGGGCGTAGTCCCGTGTGTTTTATTAGGTTAGGTTGCACCAATAATAGTCGATGAAAACACGCATTGAAGATTAATGTAAAGATGGCGCTGTTTCATGAGAACTCTCTTCTTTAAACTGTTATTATTATTATTACATTTAATTAAACACCGTGTGACTTTAGACATTTATATAACTTCATCAAGCATCTTAGAAAGTAACAAATTACAGGTGTTCAAGTAAATGGTGGTATACAATTGTTCACAATTCAGCTGTTGTTACGTAACGAGATTAACCCGTATTTAACATCATTTAAGTTTTAATTGCTTTGATGACGTGCACATTGTTCTTACAGCCAAGTATGGCCAACCTTTGAGACAGAAAACCATTTCGGATGTGGTTAGGGCA